GGGGGGGGGGGGGGGGGCAGCACAGTTGCCCTCTCTCGGCGCCTGCCTGCCTGCCTGCCTGCCTCCCTTTGTGACTATTTTTGTGGTGGGACGGTATTTGGGTGCATGCGTTTTCGACTGTTGGTCTGCGTGTGCCCGTCCGTGTTTTGACTCGGCCGTCTGGCGTGCGTGTGGATAGTGAGGATGCGGGAAGGAATGCATGACTGTGTTTGACATGTGCACATCATGATCTCGGAAGAACAAAATAACGACACAGTGACTGCGCACTATTTTTCACCGAGCTCCCGTACACCACCCTGAAATGAAACCAAGGATGCCTCGGAAGGGCCGTGCCGCACTCCCCCTCCTGACTCTGTCCCTCCTGGGCTGCCTCCCGCCCGCCACGGCAGCCCCATTTGACGAGGAACCGGAGTCACAGTCAACGCATGACAAGGCATACAACCGGCTCCACCTGCTCAATTTCCCCCGGCCCAAACGGTTCGCCTACTCCGAGTCACAGAAGGCCAGCGCCGGCATTGTGGAGAGCTTGCTCAAACCCTTCGCCGACAGCAGCGGGCCAGCAGCAACCGAGGCGGAAGGCGACGTGAAGAGCCCGCCGCTCAAAGGGGGGAAGGACTACTCAGGTGGTGACGGTGGCGGTGACGATGATGGTGGTGCTGGTGACCGTGGTCAAGAAAAGGCGGAGAGTGTGCACCCGACGGCGGCTGCTGGAGCTGGACGGGAGGAGCAGACCGAACCGGATGTCGGTGGCGGCGAAGAGGGTGCAGGAGCAGTGCTGGTCAGCGTGCCAGGTGAGTGAGGGATGGGAGCACCATCAGGGCTCTCTCTGCCACATCTCAGTGATTGTCTGTCTGTGTGTGCAGGGATCGGTCTGGCGGATTACGCGACGCTTCAGAACTCGGCGCCCACAGGTATGTCATGTGTAGGAGCAGCCCAGCCCGCTTGATGGTTCCAGGCGTATGTGTGCTCGCTCGTCCGTCCATGGCATGGCCTGGCTGCTATGCAGGGTTGTGCATCCTTCCGCTGCCGGACACGGACATCAGGGGGACGGCCGACGTCCACGCCATCGAGAAGGAGATATCAGAGGTCGAGTGCATGCTGGAGGCTCTGCACTGGCCGAAATCTGGTGGGTGTGACGTTACGGTCGGCACACACACACATGATGATTATGATGATTGAGTGTTGGTCGCTCTGATACCTGCTTCTGCACACACAGGTGGCTACTCGCATGTGCCGGGTCAGGGGTGCTACATCAAGGGGCTGGTCCGCAGCAACGAGAAGATGGCCCTGGTGCCAGCTCTGGGCATCGGCAGCGGCATCAGAGTGCAGCACAGCTTCCACTGCGTGTACCCACGGCCCGGGTGAGCTGGAGACGACATCCCTCACTGCACACGCCAAGGGATGCCTTCCTTCCGTGTGTGTTTGGATGGTGTGTGTCAGAATGAGCGCCAACTATGACCCCGAGAGCGACAGCCATCCCATAGTTGGCGAAGGCGGCACTGACTATGCCGCTGTCCCCCAAGTGGCCTCCGCTGCGGAGGTTACGACCATCACTCACATCCATCCATGAATGACGGCAATATGGTCTGTCCCTCTCTCTCCTTTGCTGCAGTGCGCTCTGAGGTGCAGCACGTCGACCGCACCCCCCGCGGCCTCGTCGATATGCGCGGCGGCCACGTACAGCCCCAGCGACCGCATCTGCTACCTCAAGACCAGCCCCATCTTCCTCTTCCCCGCAGGCGGGGACACCGTCCTCCGCCACCCCACTGGGCAGGCCACCTGCCGGAACATCGACACCTACAACGTCTGCCAGGCCAACAAACAGAAGTGCTGCCAGAAACCCAAGACTCGGATGGGCATGTGCATCCCTGAGGCGACGTATGATTGCCCGCCTGGCTTTCTGTCCAGCTATCAATTTGAAGATGAAGAGAGCGACAACGGCGAGACGGGAGAAGAGGGCGAGACGGGGGAGAAAGGCGAGACGGGCGAGAATGGAGTAAAGGAGGAGGCCCTGAGCAGCGTGCGGGGTGCGCAGGGGCTGGCTGATGACGAGACTACTCATCTGTGGCACACGTCCAGCCTGTTAGCCGACGCCAACGGCAGCGGGGGAGGAGCCAACAACGCGACGCAAGACGGATCATGGGATCTCCCAGCGACCGTCACAGCAGGTGAGAAAGCTGCGCTGCCCACCGACGAACACAATACAGTCAGTGTGCATAAGGTGTCGATCTGCAGGCACCTGTATCGTCCCCGTGCCTGATGTCGACTTCCCCGACGTCAATTCGGCGACCACACTGGAGGGCCTCACCGAGACAGAGTGCATGCGGCGCACCATCTCGGCCTTCGACTCAGGCGGCTACTCGTTCCGCCCCAACTGCCGCCAAAACCTTGGCAACGTCACCTCGTGCTGCTACGTCAAAGACGACTTCATCCCCAACAAGGCAGCCCAATACAGCCCCGTCTTCTCGTCAGGCATCCGCGTGAACCCCACCCCCGGTCAGGGCTGCATCCACCCGTTGCCTAACACCAATATCAACTTCGACTTCAAAAGAGAAGCGCAGCTGGTCGTTCACGGCGAGACGGGCACCGACTTCCTGCGGATCATGGGCATCAGCGAGGGGGAGTGCGCGCATCGGTGTCTCAGGGAGAACGTCTTCATGCACGAGGGGCAACAGGTGCGGCCCTGCGCGGCCTACACCTTCCACAGGGACAAGTCGTCCTGCTATCTCAAGAACGATCCCGTCATTGAAGTGCCGGTGCCGGCCATCGAACACGGGGCCGTCATGTCGGGGATGGTGAGGGCGTCGAGTGTGCGGGGGCTGCGGGGGTGTGCCGGGGACGGTGACTGCCCCGAGTCGTCTAAGTGCTGTCTATATGATGGCGCACAGGTGGGGTACTGTGTGGGAGAGGGGCTGGCTGCAGGCGAGAAATTCGAGAAGGTCTGCCCGTCTGCGAGAGGGCTTACATAGACACATAGGGGCGGGGGCGGGGGGTGGGAAGGAAGGAGACACAGGTAGCGTAGCGTGTGTGTGTGTGTGTATGCGGTATGTACTGCACTTGGGGTGGCTGGCTAGTGAACAGACAGAGCAGGTAGGTATGTGATGTGAGATATATAGATGTGGTTGGTTGGTATGTGAGTCATGTCGCTTCCTTACGCATACTCTCTCTCTCTTGCTTGCTGTGATTAGTGGTGCGTGTTCGTATGGTTGGAAGGAGGGAGGGGTGGATCGATCAATGAGCGGTCAGTGTTGGTCAACGAATCGATCCACCGATAAATCAGTCAGGTTGGCCGAAATGCGATGGGTAGGTAGGTAAGGAGGAATTGACTGACCTGACCGATATGCTAGCTAGCTATGCCATGAGATGAGATGAGAGGGGATGGGATTCACTAAGTGAGTACGTGTATGTGTTGGTTGGGTCGATGTTCATACCGTATGTGTGCGGGTCTCTCTGTGTATACTCACACTCACACTCACTCACCCACTCTACCTACTGTATTTGTTGCGTCCTGTGCAGTGCACCACTCCCTCCCTCCCTGACTCACCTCACCCCACCCCACCCACATGGCATGGGCTGGCTGACGGATAGATGACTCGTCCATGGCTCTCTGTCCTGTCCATAAGCCACTCAATACACTCACTCATCCAATCACCCCATTCCCTTCACTCACTCAACGTACATCAATCATGTCGTCACCAAATGCAGCACAATGACATCCCCGCTCTCAACCCCCTCACTGCACAAACCCGACAGCACACACACAGCCGACTCGTCCCCGCCGACATACCTCTCCAGCAGCTCCTCCCCTTTGTCAGCCGCATCCCCATGCAGCACCACCAGCCGCTGGTGGCCGCCCCCATCAGCGTTGGGGTTCCTCACCTTCAGCCGCAAGCAGATATAATCGAGGTTATACCCGATGGTCTTGCTGCCGTCCAGCCACACGAAGAAGGGACCCTTGCCGGTGGCGGCCGGCACAGACACAGAGGGGGAGGTGAGGACCCTGACCGCGATCCTGTGATGCGACGGTATGGCCGCGTCGCCGGTCGCCTTCTGCTTGACCTTCATCCGCTCAACCTTGTTCGCCAGAGCCCGGTGCTTGTCGCTGACTTGTTTCTTGGGCTGACCGCTGCTGGCAGACGGTGCCGATGCCGCTGCCTTTGGAGCACCCTGTTTCCTCTGTGGTGCAGCACCACCAGTCGGCTTGACCTTCGTGGCAGCCGGGCAGTCGTGGTCATCAGGAAACCTGTGCTTGATGCACACCACTCTGTTGCAGCTGGGGCAGGTCGTAAAGACCTTCACAGGGGCCGAGCAGCCGCTGACCGCACACACGCTGGCGACTCTCTCGCCCGGGCAGTCTTTTGCCTGGTGTTGCTCCAGTGCCTCGTCAGGGGTCATGGTGGCCGGGACTCGAATGCACCGCCGGCATCTGCGGCAGATGACGGTCTCCTCCGCGATGGCTGTCGAGGCAGCGCTGCACTTGTGGTCATCCGGCCTGAACACATCGACCAGACGGACACATCAAATATATGGCGACGACGGTTTGAAAGGGGTTTGTGTCTGCTTACCTTCTGTGAATCCTGCAGAAGAGCCGTCCGCATCCGTTGCAGAGGAAGGGCAGGAAGTCGAGCTGTTTGCAGTAGGCGAACGAGCAGTGGCTGCCCACGTCTTCCTGCATGGCTGCGCCTAGGAGGGAGGTGCACAAACGGAACAGAGCGACCGAACGCGAACAACAGTATATGTGGTGGCTGGTCCTTTCTCTGCGTGGCGTTGGGCTGACCTCACCAAGAGTATCAGGGTGGTTCCACCAGCCAGCACGTTGAGTGTCCCCTCCAACCTCAGACAGGCTCTGATCTGAAGCCACGAACGCAGGAAGTGATTGATGGACACTCGCCGGCCCCTGGTCAGTCACATCTACCCCCTGACTCACGTGATTTTTTCCGCGTCACTTTTTGCGAGCTCAAGCGAGCTTGGACAAGATCTTCGACCGCTTCTCCTCGGAGTCCTCGGTCATCTTGAAACCCTCGTCGGCGTGGATGGACTGGACGAACGTCTGGCTGCATCGACACACACACACACACACACACACAGACCCGACACACACACACATACACACCCATGCCACACTTTTCTTGAGCTGAAGACACCATCTCCTGACCTGTGCAGCTTGTCGGGCGGTGCGACCTGCCCCTGGTGGCCGAAGGGTGGATCCACGAAGGGCTGTCCGTTGAGCATCTTGTTGACGTTGGTCTTGACGCAGTGTGCGCTGTCGTGGCCGCCATCGTGGCACTCGCCACAGTCGGTACCGAACACGATGGGACCGTGGAGGTCTGCGGGATTGATGAAGTTGAGCATGTTGCTGAGGAGGTGAGTATCTGCTGGTTGGTGCAGCGGGTTGAAATCTAGAGTTTGGCCCGCGCGTGCGCGGGCGGTCTGGAAGCTGAGGTGCTGGCCCGTGCCGAGTCGCCGTGTGCGAGCTCAATACTGGTCCCCTCTGCAATTCGAACCCGCGACTCCCTTTCCTACCCGCGCGAAACGCATTTCCGCTCCGATCTCCGCACCCGCGCCTCCCCGGACCGCAGCTCTCCAGCACAGGCAACGCGGGAAGCTTCCGCAGCGTCTGACATGAGAAGACGGCGGACGATTTGGTGGGCGGTGGTGGTGGGCATAACATACACGCCAGGGACTCGAACCCGCGACTCCCTGTACCCCCGCTGGACGCGGCCTCACCACTGCGCTATGTGCTGATCGGCGGGGTGACCGCTCCGCGCGCGAAACGCATTTCCGCTCATATCTCCGCAACCGCGCCTCCCTGGACCCCAGCTCTCGAGCACAGGCAGCGCGGGAATTTCCGGCAGCGTCTAACCCGACTAACCGGAGGAGAGGGCAGAGGAGATGTGGGTGGTGGTGGTGGGCGAGCTGTAAGAGTAGTGGAGTATAGAGAGATCTCCCCCCATGCACCGTGTGACGTGCTCTGTGTGACGGCATCGAGTGCAGCAGGCGACCACATCGACTGTTGATTCAATCAGGTAGGCTTCACGAAATGCATGCGCGTGAGATACCAACAAAGGCAAGCGCTGATGAGGCCTGTTGTCCTGCCTGTGTGTGTTGCAGACGTAGTGCATCACCATGTCCGATCAGCCCGATAGCACCGCCCAGCCGCCTCTACTGAAAGGCGGCATTGACCTCTGCTGGCAGCACAACACCAGCCCCGCCACCAAGCGGCTCGTCCACCGCATTCTGCGCCGTGAGCTGACGCCCGCCATCGCCACACGACTCATCCAGACCAAAGGAGCCGACCCCGACACACTGGTCGGCTTCCGCGATAAGGCATCTGGAGTCCATCGACGCACCAAGTGGATGCCGCTGCTGTCGCTGGCGATTGACGACCCGACCGGCAGCGTCCCCCCTGTGTGGGGGATGGATTCGGAGAACTCCAGACGCCACTGCTGCTCACACCGTGGTCGTCACGCCAACTGCAGCGGGACATACTCCAGGCGCTCATCAGCTGCGGCGCCAACGTCAACCTCCATCGTCCCTATCACGAGGGCATGAGGCCGATCAATGTGGCGTCCATGACGGGCAACATTGACGCAGTGGAGGTGCTGTTAGCCACAAATCAGGTCGACCATGTATCCTTCCCCCTTCACCGCTTCCCTCCCCTCCGGCCATCGCAAGCCTATGGCGATGCCCTCATCCGAGTGGCCCGCCGGCTGCTGCAGCATAACCCGTCACTGACTGGCAGTGCGGTGCTCACGGCAGCTCTCTCACGGCCCCTTCTGTCCAAGGCCTTCACCTACGAGTACATGGACACCCTGGTGCAGTACGGCAACCCCGTATCGGCGACCACGGTGAGTTCTAGACTGCGGTATGCCGCCCTTCACGGCAACCACTGGGTGGTGGACTACCTGTGCGAGCGTCTTGCCACACCCGCTGACATCAACCCTGCACAGGTTGTTGCCCCGCCGCTCTGGCATGCCGCAAGACGACTGGAAGACCTGCTTGACGAGTGGGACGGTGACGACGGCGACGACATGCGGGACGAGACAGCTGAGCGCATTCGCAACTTCAAGCTGATGGTGCGGTCCCTGCTGCGGGCGGGAGCCGACCTCTCGACGAGCGTGCTTCCCACCACCACACCCGTTGAGCGCGAGCGGCGTGAGGCGGTGCTGAAGGAGTACGTGGTTGTACTCAACGAGCTGCCCTTCGTCGTCATGGGCGCCATCAACGCCGCCCTCGCCCCCCAGCGCGACGCCGACATCATCATGACGCGCATCCTGCCCTTTGTGGACCACAACGACGAGGACGCCTCCATCCCCCACCCTCCTTCCCCCTCCCACCTCTCATTCGGACCACAGGAGGCCGCCGCCATCGCATGGAAGATCGGGGCCTTCCTGCACGACCCCCCCGCCGCACTCACCGCCATCGACAGCTACCTCACCAACGCATCGGCAATCAAGCGGCGCGTCCGGGAGGCCGTCGGGCATTTCGTCAAGTGGGCGGCTACCAAGACGGTCAGCAATCGGGAGGTGGTGGGCGGGTGGAGTCGGGGGCCGGACGGGCAGATGGTGTGTGGGCCGCAGCTGCAGTGCTTCGCCCTCGATGCCGGCCAGCACCACACGCACAGGCGTCTTGGGGTCCGCGAGGTGGTGCACGGCGCCCGGCTGGATGAGGTGAAGCAACACGGGCTGGAGGGGGTGGTGAAGGGCTTCAACAACGAGGAGGGCAATGACGACTGTGAGTTCCAGTGGGGCCGACTGGGCTACGTCACCGGCCAGACAGGCCAGCAGTGGGTGTCGCTGGGCATCAACTGATCGATCGCCTCGGCAGCTGAGGGAATGATGACTCGTTTTTGGTGCATGGTGTCGGTTTAACTGCTGACTGATTGAGACAGTTTTGCGCTGGCTTGTTCGTGTGATGCCTGCCTGTGTCGACTTGCCTTGTGTCCTTGCAAGCACATGTGTATCAAGCCAAGACGCGTTCACGACCTTTTGGATGAAGCCAAGCCGGTGAGGTGAATGGGCGGTGCGGTGGGCGGCAGGGAAACCGAGGTATGCACTTCACTCAAGACAGATAGGTAGATAGATGCAATGCAAGCATTCACACACACACACACAGAGATCCGTCCGTCCACCTGAGTTACTGGCATAAATGCAAAATGCTCCTCTAGACAGAGAGAGAGAGAGAGAGACAAGACAAAGGGACACACTCATCCAGCCATCCAGCCGTACAGCCGTCCGCCCGTCCGTCCAGCCAGCCTTCCCTCCGCCCCTCTCTCTCACTCCCCCTCACACACAGACGACGACAAGACAGCTTGTGTGAGTGAGTGGGGGGGTGGGCAGCTAGTCAGTTATTTACAGATCTAAAAGGCGGACAGACAGACAGGCAGGCAGGCAGACTGCCACAGATAGCATTCTGTCCGGACTGGCTGGCTGGCTGCCTGGCTGCCTGGCTGTCTGTCTGGCAGGCCTGCCCACCTACGCTAGGCACACTGACGACGACTCCATGGGATACACAGACGAGGGTAGACAAGAAACACAGGCAGACAGACAGACAGACAGACAGGGGGACGGAGAGAGAGAGAGAGAGATGCAGGCAGAGAGGACGGACACCAAGAAAGATGCAACGAACGAACATGACACGAGAGAGAGAGGGTCATCTACAGCTTCTAGTCCTGCACCGGACGGCCGGCCGGCCGGCTGGGTCACTCACTCCTTCAGTGTCACTCACTCATCATTGCAGGAGTCTGGCGAGCGGCTGTAGGGCGCTCTGGTCCCCTGTGGGAGCGGGTACTTGTGGCTGTGAGGCGGCGATCTGCTCGATGAGCCCCTTGTGGTTGAGCAGGCACGTCTTGACGTAAGCCAACACGTCCTTCACCTCGGGCACCTGTGCAGTGCAGTGCACACCCACACACACATATATGGGCGGGGCTGTGTTGTGCATCTCTCTCTCTCTCTCTCCCTCACTCCCACCATGTCTTTGGATGTGTAGTCCGTCGAGTGCAGCCTGGCGTAAGCCACCTCAAACTCTATGCCCGTGTCGGGCCCGTCAGCTACCGGACCCAGCTCCTGCATCACACCACACCACCACACAGACGCACGAGGGCCAGGTGTTGGTCGCTATGTTTGCCCACTACTGTAGCTTACCTCTTCCTCGTCGGTTTCATGGTCGATGGTGCCGTTTTCCATGCCGAGGCCCATGAGGCTGCCGATCACCACCAGACACGACTTGAGCAACTCGGCGTTGGACGCCACCTCCTAGGAGCACATCACACACAACGCGCACACACACACACACACACACACAGAGAGCGAGAGAGAGTGCCATGGCCATGGCCACTCATCAGGCACGTTCGTTGCCCACCGGGACGCTGCATAGCCGCGAGAGAGCTAGCACGGTGACCTTCTTGTCCGCGAAATCGCTCATTGCTGCAGCCAGCCGAGCAGCCAACCAACACGCAGAGGACGGAGCATTGGTCGCTTGCGCTTATCACAGGTGTCTGTCCGTGCGTGTGTGTGTGTCTTCTGCCTGTCCTGTGTGCGTGATAGATACTTTTCGCAGCTGGCAGCCAGACGTGTGTGAGGAAGTTGGTCGTCAGGCCTGACACGCACAACACACACACACACACCGTCTCTCGTCCACTTGGGCCTCTGGGTTTCTTCCCTATTTACCTGATTGGATTTTGTCGAGCATTTTTGGGATGATGACCTCCTCGTGGTGGCACTGCAACGGTGATCAGTCAGTCAGATAAGCCAAGTCAGGTGAGCTGCACTGCCCTGCCCGTGTCTGTCTGTCTGTCATGTTTTGCGCTGTGTACGTACGGTGAAGAATGAGAGCGAGATGATGGCGTCTCGGCTGAGGCGTGGGTTGCTCTTGGCCGTGTGCAGCCGGCTCAACAACACCGTCAGCAATGTCTGTCAGGTCAGCCGATGGCACCACACAACACCACAACACACCACACCACACCACACACGTCATGTCGTCTGTGTGGTGTGGTGTGTGGCTTGATTTGATTGGCGGTGTCGTGTCGTGTCTTGCCTGGAAGTGCTGCGCGTAGAGGTTGTATGGGAGCCACTTGAAGATGGCGTTGAGCAGCTCGAAGGCGTAGGGCTCCAGCTTGCGGTGATGCAGGCAGTACTGGAAACGCTCAAACACACCCTGACAGACACAGACACACGCAGACAGACAGACAGACAGACGCATAGAGGGGGGGAGGGCAAATCAAATGCACATAAAGACGGCTGTGCATCGGATCAGCCAGGCAGCTGAGCTGTACCTTACCGACCTGCATGTGTTTGCTGATGAGGTCGGTGAGTACGGGGTACTTTTTGAAAAACGACGTCAGCAGATTCACCACACCTGGCACATTCGCCTGGTGGACAGAACCGATTCACACACACATAGCATAGCATAGAGAGATGAGATGAGATGTGCGTGGTTGTGTCATCTGATCTGCCAAAAGGTGTGTGTCTCTGCAAAGGCATGCATCCCTACCTGTGAAGCCGACCAGAGGTTGGTGTTCATGAGGTGGCTGAAGAGCTCGTTGTAGCTGGCGGACGGCTTCACGCTCGCCTCCAACATCACTCCCAGAATCTGCACACACACATTTGAGTTGAGGCCATGCACATCACCACAGACACGTGACTGACCTGGAAGCAGTAGGGGACGAAGTCGTGGTTCTGCTGCTGCACAATGACCGCCAAGACCGGCAGCAAGATGCTCTCCACAGCTGCAGACATACACACAACACACACACGCACACACGCACACACACACACACACACACGTGCGTCAACTCCATGGGTGCGTGGGATGTGGGTGTGCGTAGGTACCATCGGGGGTCTTGGGTGCGGTGATTTTGACGATGGTGGCGATGGTTTCGAAGAGGAGGTGGTTGAACTTGGGGTTGGAGGGGTTGGCAGACACCTCCTTGACCACACCCACCAGCTTCTCAAGGGTCTGAATCGCCAAACCAGACGCTGACACACACACACAGACACGCACACACAGACACAGACAGACACAGACAGATGGAGAGGACGTTGGGGGTGGATCTGCGGAGGGATGGCTGACCTTCTTCGCCCATGAAGGTGAATATCCTCAGGATGCACCGCATGATATACTCGTTCTCGGGGATGCCCCGCTTCGTCAATACGATCTGAATCAGCGGCTCCAACACCTGTGTGGTGTGCACACACACAGTGCGACACAGCACAACACATGGATGGATGGATGGATGGATGGATAAATGGGCCGTCTCCCTCCCTCTGTGTGTTTCTGTGTGCGAGTGCAACACACGTGCCTGTGTCAGTGTGGGCTTGAGGTTCTGCACGTAGAGTCGCGGCGTCGACCGTCGCCTCCCCGCTGTGCCGGCCGGCTGCACGGCGAGGGCCTCCTTCATCGACAGCAGCCGCTCGATGCACGACGCCGCATAGGTGTGCACCACAGCCTTCTCGTGCAGCACATGCCTGCACACCGACGGCAAGATCTGCTCCAACACCCTATCAACACACACACACACACTGACACTGCGACCGCCCAGAACCGCAGAGTCGTCATGTTGTCCGTCCGAGGTCGGCTGACGTTGCGTCGAGCTGGTTTCGGAAGAGGGTGAGGTACTTGATGGCCGATGCCCTGACGATGGGCCGTGTGCTGATGGGCTCGGCGGTGAGCTCGGGTGCGAGTGTGGTCCTGAAGAAATCGGCGACGTCGACCTTCTGGGTGGTCTCGACGACGCCCTTGAGTCTGGACTGGCTGCGGACGGCCATGGCGATGACGAGGTACACACAGGCGTCCTTGGCTTTCTCGCTCTCCTGCGGGGCGTCGGGCTTGGACTGCACCTGCAGCAGACTGTTGACGTACTCGGCCAGGATGCCCGTCACCTGAGGGACATAGACATGGATGGATGGATGGATGGATGGGGGATGGTTGTGTGTGTCTTGGGGGCGGGCCGGGGGGGACCTGGTCAGCGTAGAACTTGGAGAGCGACTTGACGAGTTCCATGACGGAGCGGCGTCGCGTGTCCTGGTCGGCCGACTCTATGTCGCGGCGGATGTACTCTTGAGGATTGTCCTCAAACAGCTCCAAATCTACACACAAACCAGAGAGAGGCACACACACACACTCACATCCGCCCCCCACACACATACAGGGCCCGTGAATGGGCTGACCTGAGTCTCTGAGAGTGATGTTGGGCAGTACGACCTTCTCGCAGACGGCCCTGAGGACGTTGGGGTCGTCGAACGGCGAAGGGGTCCACTTGGTGTGGGCCACGGTGGAGAGGAAGTGCACGCCCGCACTCACCAAGCCGTCCTGGCACTCACGGGAGTCCAGCGACATCAGCAGCTCCCACACTGAACCAGAAGCAGCCATCACGGGCACAGAGTGAGTGAGGAAAGGCGCGTGTGTGTGTGTGTGGATGGGCGTGGCGTCTGTTCCCACCCCCTGACTGACTGACTGACTGACTGACCTGACTTGACGCATGGCTGCACGTAGGGTTCGAACTCCTCCTGGTACTTGTCCGAGTAGAGGGTCAGGTTCTCCAAGATCTGCGTCTTGAGCTCCTCCAACATACCTAGCACACCACACCACGTCAAGGCAACCATGTGAATGTGCGTGTCTTGTCCTGACTGACGCACACCTACCAGGTTTGTCGTCGTCTGCAGCCTTGACGGCGTCATGGTGCCAGCCGAGGAACTTGAGGAATCCCTCGAAGTACTCCTGCATGTGGTCCTCGAAGTACTCGGGCAAATCCACCACATTCAGCGAGTAAAAGATGCAGCAGGCCGTCAGCAGCAGACGCGTGTAGGCCTCCACCTGGCCGACGCCGCCGCCACCCACCAGCTGCTGGCAGGCCGTCTTGTAGATGGTCAGCAGGGGCTCCTGCAGCTGCAGGATCACGCCCTTGAGCTCGGCCAGCACCTCCTCGCTGCGGTGGACGGAGCGGTACTTGCGGAGGATGACGTCGAGGGTGTCCATGGCGCCGTTGAGCACCTGCAGGTCGCTCGACACCAGGTGCTTCTGGATGATCTCGGGCAGCAGCGCCTGCCACTGCGACGGGAAGTCAGACACCGCTATGCGGGCCACGGCGTCCCTCAGCTGAGCCTGCACCTGCAGACATACACATACACAGACACATGCATATGAGTTGAGTGTACCAGACAGACAGGCAGGCAGAGAGAGAGTGAGAGAAGGCCCCATGCGCCATACACGCATCGCATCCACGCCCACCTGTTTGGGGCAGTGCATCATGAGTGTGAGGACATGTTGCTTGACCAGCAGTCGGTCGGCGGGTCGTATGCCGCCCTCGGCGGGGTTGTCGCCGCTGGTCCATCCCTTGCGGCAGTAGTTCTTGAAGAAGATGGCGCCACTCTGGCGCACAGCCATGGGCACATCGGGCGTCTGCAGCAGGGTCAGCAGGATGGTCAGAAATTGGTCCTGCTTGCTGGCGGCTGCCAGGGACGCCTCGGCAGCCTTGCGGTCGGCGACATTTGGCGAGAGGGTCTGCTGGAGGAGCTGACTCAGTTGCTGGAGATCACTCGACAACGCCATCATGCAACACAGATTCGGGTAGATGCGCTGGGAATCGGATCACGGTGGCTTGACACACCAGTGTGGGCGGCTGGGGGACACGACGGGAGGCGGATCTGCTGGCGCATTCAAACTGGGAAATGCAGCTCTCTTGAAAAAGGCTGAGTTTTGATTGCGAGCTTTAAAATGATTGTGCGACATCGCGTGGAGTCGGGCGTTGCCAGTGACAGCCTCATAGCTGAGACGGAGAGGCTTGACGTGCAGATGTACTCTGCAATTATATAAGATGTATCTACACACACGGTCTGACTCTCTCTGCCAGCTTAGCATCTCGCTACCCAGACTAAGCACACTCTGACTGCCAGCTACTGCCTACTCATTCATCGCTTCTTCTACGCCGGCTGCCATGCCTCGCGCACTCAGTGCCGGAGGAGCGGCCAGGCCCATCGCACAGTAGATCTTGGCCAGGGCATCCGCCAGATGGGCCGGCAGGTACGACAAAGAACACATGTTCTCGTCGCCGCAGGGCGCGTCGGCAGCCACCACATAGCGCACAATGGCCTCGGACACCCCCACCCCAGCAGCACCGCTCTCCATGCCAGGCACCTCAGCGGATGCTCTCTTGCCTCTCCTGTTGGCCGCAGCACCACCACCATTGTTGGCGGCAGGTTCGTTCTCGTTTGACCAGGGTGTCTGGATCAGGAGCTCTGTTGCCGTGTCGATCTCCATGGGTGCCGCGTGTGCCGGCTCGTCTGGGTGGTCAGCTTGGTGGTCGGCAGCTGGTGGGTGCTCCTTTCCATAGGCAGCATCAGCATCGGTGGCCGTGGCCGTGAGGCTGATGAGGTGGAGGTACAGCTCCTCGGCTGCACGCTGACGCACCACCGGGTACCTGATTGATAGCACGACACATACACAGACACAGAGAAAAATCCTCGTTTGACTGACATGTGCTGTGCATGGCGCTGGTTGCTCCTTACTTGTGTCCGAGCAGCCGCAGCCCTACCGCCACCCCACACGACCAGAAATGCATGCCCAGGGCGTCGCCCACCGTACCCCCAGCGCCTCCATCGCTCCTCAGCTTCGACCCCACACTCATCCCGTCCACACGCGTCGATGTCCCATCCTCATCCCGCCCCTTGCGCTTCCTGACGACGGCCGCTTTGGTTCCCTTGCTGTCCTGGGAGATCAGGGGGGTGTTTGCGACTGAGAGGAGGGCGCCCACCAGGCCGACGATCCGCAGGAGGCGGCCCGCATCGCGACACAGCACTGTGCGGCCTGCCGCTGCCGCCAGAGCGTCCCACCCTGCATGAGACGAAAGGAGAGAAGCCGACACGTCAGCCAAATGATGAGTGGCAGCGTCAGTCCTGTGCAGTTGAGTTGGTCAGTGGACTTACCTCGTCTCGGGTTGAATGCGGCCTGTGAGATGCAGAAGGCCGTGGTGGCGATGAGCGGGGTGATCAGGCGAGAAGACGCGCTCCCATGCTTGTTGCACCATCCCTTGGTCAGCGACTCCTGCAGCAGCTGGCGAGAATCACCGGCGGCTCTCGGTGGACTCGCCGGGCCCGATGCAGATGAAGAAGCCGTGTCGCCACCACTGGACAGCCCGGCCACAAGCGCCTTGATAACTCGCTGACATCCGTCTGCTGCTGCATCTGCCGCCTGGCCCGTCTTGTCCTTGGCGCCACACCGCTGCAGCAGTGGCGCCGGCATGGCGTCGTGCAGGAGCTGCATGAGGTCCTCCGACACGGCATCAATGAGCGAGACGTCACGGCATGGCGTCGTCAGCACGTGGACGAGCGCGTCCCCGGCCGCCTTGGCCAGGAACTCCGTCAGCCCGCCCACAGATGGCGCCAGACCCTGGACGAGACCGTGACGGTACACCGCACCCACAGAGGCCGTCACCGCTGCTTCTGCATCCTTCTTGGCGTCAGGGGTGGCGTAGGGCGGTGTGCATGCGAGGCGCAGGAGTGGGAGGAGGTGTGGGAATGTGTTGGTGGGGCAGCACCATGGCACCAGCACAATGCTCATGCTCAGCCGGCCGTTGCCCATCCCCACCGTCATAGCCGTGGCCTCCTGCCGGTCCGCTCCACCCTCTGTGTCGTTGTTGGCCTCTTCCTCACTGTCTTGTGTGTCCTGGTCCGCTGCCCGCTGCGTCATGGGTGCCACTGCCGCCGCTATGTCCGCCCAGAAGGGGAGGGGGCCTAAGGCAGTGGTGCCGTTGGATGCCGGGGAAGGGGGAGGGTGTTGCGCTGACGTGGGTGTGTCGCTTGTCCTGGCTGAGTCGTCGTAGGATCGGTTGCTGAAGATGCGATTGAACGACCACGCCATCTGACCGACAGACAGCACAAGGGACGACAGATGCCTTATGGTTGATGACGAGAGAGAGTTCTGTGTGTGCCACGCATGCCAGGTGACCTACCTGGAACATCGTGCGCTCAGCAGGTCCGCTACTAGAATACAGCCTGCATCGACTCATGAAGAGACAGACAAACGACGGAAAACGCGTCGCTTTCCTAGGTTCGCGTGTCATTTCCCGGTTTGTCTGACGTACCTCGCCAGGAGCATGCAGGCCAGCCCCCGCGGCCTGTCAATCTTCTCGACGGCCTGCTGCAGCAGCCCACAAACCGCCCTCTCTATGAACGACACACGCAGCCGCACCAGGGTGTCTTCGGCCACACCAGCCGGGGCCGTGCTGCCCTCCTCGCTGCACAGCGGCATGGTGTCGTCATGATATATGGATGTCGACAGGTTCTCGAGCGCGAGGACCAGCAGCTCCATGGCGACCTCGCGCACCCATGACCCAACATCTCCTGCACACACGCACGCACAGTGTCATCATGTTGACAGAGGATCGTGTCCCCTCCCTCCCTCCCTCCCTCTCTCGCTGACCTCTGGAGTCCAGCTGGTAGTCCTTGAGGCACCCCAAGAGTGCCTCGAAAACCAGGGGCCACGGCACGCGAAACCGACAAGATGACGACTGACGCTCAGGTGCCTGACGGCAGATGGCCATGTGGGTCTCCAGGAGGGACCCCAGCGCCAGGAGGGCGTTGCGGCGGCTCTCAGCGTCCACCAGATCGGGATACTGGGATGCGGGCAACACCAGGCCCAGACACTCCTCCAGCAGCAGCTGAATCGAATCCCCACACATGTGCAGTGTACAGAGGAACCAATGACTCCAAACTGACATCAGATGGACTGTTGTCACTATCACCTTACTCACCTCTAGCGTGGCTGCGAGTGTCCGCAATGCTCGCTGCCTCTCGCCGTCAGCTGTTGGAGCCGCCTGTATGAGCACAGGAGGGGCGCCCCGGGCCACCCCCAGCAGGTACCCCCTCCTCGCGGCCACTGTCTGATCGGGCCGGCTCAGGAGATCCAGGAAACGCTCCACCACACCACACGCAGCGTCCAGCGACAAGCGCCTGCACCAAATGCACGCAGATCATCTCATATGTGTAGGTGCCTCAGCTGGTTGCTGCACTGCTGGCTTACCTGGTTGCGAGTGCCTCGAGTGCGTGGCTGGCGGCGACCTGTATCTTGGGGTTGAAGTGTTTGAGGCAGTCCTCAACCGTCTGGAGGTACCGCTGGGCCGTGGCGTCCTTGAACGACCAGGCAGACGCGCCCGCCAAGGTGGCGATGAGCTCACAGGCGGCGTGGCGCATGATCTCGCCGCCCTTGCCGCGGTACAAACGGGCCTTCTCCATCTTTGGGATCAGATTGCGGACCTCCTGCATGCAACCAAAGAGACACACAAGACAGCACACAGGAGATGGATCAGCAGTGGGGTGGGTGAGGGTGTCGCTTGCCGTTTGTAGCTGCGAGGGCATCGCCTCGATGCCGGTGTCTTGTTGCCGGCTGCCCTCGATGATTGCTGCCACTGTCAGGAAGAGCCCGTGGCGCGTCTCAGTGTCCAGATGACCCAGCAGACAGGCCGACACAACATACGGCAGCACCGTCTGCAGCACAAACAGAAGACACAAGAGTGCACTGACGTGACACATGCAGCACTTTCGCAGCGGACCTGATGCACGTGCTGCAGGACGATGGGCGTGAGCCTCTGCAGTGCCTGCGTGGCCAGCTCCCGCAGCGACCGCTCTGGGTGGCCGACCTTGCACTCCACCAGATGCCACACCAGCGCCACACCATACGTGCCGGGGTCCAGCCGCGCTATGGTCGGCGCCACCGACAGGTATGCCTGGCTCCTTGATGCGATGGCGAAGTAGTCGGCCGCTGTGAGGACCTCCAGCCCGCGGCTGAAGGGGCCGGTGGGTGGGGCGTGGTCGGTGATGACGCGTGTGCTCTGGCGGCCGACCCACTCTTGGAGAGCTGCCGATGCCGCACGCCGACAGTTGACTTCTCGATCCAACACGGCGACCTGCATATGCAGTTAACACAGGGATGCATTCTCAGCTCGCTTGGTCGGTCGGGTGCCTACCTGAACGAGAGTTGTGAAGAGTGTCTGCGCGGCGTCGCCGAGAAGGGCTGCGGGATAAGTTCTCGCGATGGCCCAGCAGACGTAGCACGCCGCATCCCTGATGGACCGGCGGGGGACGACACTCACATGTGATGATGAAGGTCGGTCGGTCGGTGCTGTCAGCTTGTGCCGACCCACCTCACCTGAGTGCCGCCCCCACAGTGTGGGCCCCCCTCCGCACGTCATACAGCAGCGCCTGATGCGATCCAGGCAGCCACAGGCGCTTGGCTGAGCAGTGCATTAGTGCAGCTCCTTGTACAAACACACCTGAGTGATGAAGGGCACCAGCGTCGGCAAACGGCACGGAACCAGCAAACCTATAACCAATACAGCAAAAAACAGATGTGTCTGTGCTCTCACACACGCACATCCTCCCTCTCGGTCGGCTCACCTCGTCTCAGCAGCTCAGCGATGGCCAGGCAGGCCCCGTGGCCCGTCCGGCCCAATGTAGACGCCGCCGGTGCACCGCCCGCAGTTGAGCGGGCCCCATAGTGCCATCCCTCACTGCCGGTGCTGCCGATCGGAGGCGAGCCGAATCCCTCCAACACCCAGTCGATCACCTGCTCCGCCCTGGACTGCGTCAGCTGCATGCACAGGCGGCCGACGGCCTTGGCTGCCGCCCAGCGAACAATCGTGTCCTGAAAGGGTGGAGGGAGAGAGGGAGAGAGGGAGAGATACATGAATGCCTGCCTGGTCGTGAGTGAGTGGCTCTTGTCTGGCTGTACCGAGTCTTGCAGCCCCTGCAGCACGATGTCGAATATGTCCTCGAGCAAGCCCTCGTGCTCACTCTCGTCAGCACTCTCCTCTTCTGCTCCTACTGCTACTGCTGTGGTTGCTACACTGCCGCCCTGCCGCCCATCTGCGGTTCCGCCATCATGTGGCTGCCTGTTGGCCGTGACGTTGGGCAGCAGCCGGGTTGGGTGGTGCTGGTACCTCCAGGGCGCCATGCGCTGTGGCAGGATGACCAGGCCGATGCGGCAGCTGCAGCTCAAGCGATACTTTCTGCAATCAATCGATGGATGGATGGATGGAGGGATGGATGGCAGGAAGCAGAGGAATGGTGCTTTGTGCTGCTGTGTGGCCGGCTGTTCTACCCTGCCTGATGCTTACCTGATGAGTGAGGGTGGGTTGGACATCTTGCCGCACTCAACGACTACCAACCCTGCACACACACGATCGGTCGACTGACAAGATGCCGGTCCACTCGCTGAGCGGCCTTCTCACCGTAGAGAGCCGGTACAAGGGGAGATAGCGCCGCAACAATGGTGCGCTTCAACGTCTCATTCAACGCCTGCAGCACTGCATGCAGCCACATACAGCCGCCCAGCCACAACAACAAGTTCGAAACGACTTTAGGTAGAAGGTGTGCAGCCCAGCCCACCCACACACCCTCACCTCCAATGATCGACATGTGGTTCCATTCCGACAAACATGGGCCTGCCGCCTCGCCGTTTATTGCCTGCCGCCGGGTGGCCCTGTCGTGCGCCCACTGTACAAATGACGCAAACAGGCACTGGGAGGCACCTCCCGGCTGTGTGGCGGGGGACGGCAGTGTGTCGGGTCGCGAGAAGACTTTCGACAGGAGGACGGACGCAGCCTCGCGGACTCGACTAGGGGAGCTGACGTCCAGAGACAAGGGCAATAGGGTACATGGGTGGCGGGTCACTCGTGGATGTGTGCACACCTGAGATATTGTTGCGTCACCTGCACCAGCCGCTGAAGCATGTGCGATCCTGATATGCACACACGATCAGTCAGCGTTTGCTATAGTGAGTTCACCCTTATCCATCCCGACTGTCCCTCCTCGACCCACCTTGGCTGGTGTCGGCAATGCTATCTGTGAGCTGAAAAGGCAGCAGTGCCAGCAGCGACAGCCACAGAAGCAACACATACTCCAAACGCCCTGCACACACGCACACACACGCACACACACACATATGCTTGTCTTATCCATTGCCGTTTTTCGGTGTGACGACTGCTCTCCCTCTCTTCTCCCGCTGTGTCTGTGTTCGGCTTACATACACGTATCGTTCTGAGCATCGTCTTGCCCTCTCTTGGCAGCTGCCCCCTCCAGCAGTGCCACCAGCGGCTCGAGGTAGTGCCTCTCAGAAGGGTAGAAAGGCACAATCGTCTTGTGCCCACGCACCACCGAACACGTGTAAAGCACAGACCCAATCAGGCGTATCCTTTCTCCGGCCTGCCATCCTTGCGCCCTCACCACCCACTGCGACAAGGGCTCGATCAGCGGGGGCAGCAGTGCACTCCAGTGCGCATCGAGCAGCGCAGGGGACTCCTGGTAACGAGCTAGGATGTCCGTCACGCGCTCACATGCTCGTGGCAGCCATTCGGGGGCTGGTGTGTCGAGATCGGGAGAAGCGGCGCTCTCTGCGATTTGCTGGACAAGAGAGATGGTGAGTGCCGCCTCCTGGAAGTGCGTCGAGGGGCCGCAGAGGGGAGAGGAGGGGTTGCTGGGAAGATGCGACGGCCCTGGAGCACCTGGGCGCTGGGCGGCATACACCACTTTGTCATCCAGATTCATCAGACCTGCACATCACAGAATTGATGAATGAAATACTGCTTTGTTGCTGCGCCTTGATAGATCTGACTGACGAGCTGACCTGAGGTCCCCGTGAGGTTAACGAACGAACGCCATGGGGAAAATCAGTCGATTGCGAGCTTGCATTTCTTTGTTCCCCGGATGTCCTAACACTTCCAGTCAGCAAATCCATACTTCACAGCTCACACACGAATTCTTCAGAAAATCAATCACTTCACCAAACACGGAAGGTTTCCCCACCACATACTTGCAAACACCATATAAGCATGAACAGAAGGCCATCAAAGTCATCGCAAATTATCCGCCTGAACCCTTCCCTCAAGTTCACATGCAACCCGGAAATCAGCCAGTAGTTCGCAAACATTTCACATTTCAAAAACTAGACAGACGAAAAGACTCAATACAACGTTGGCGGCTGATCTCTTGTGATGGCTCGAGGCTTCAACATAGACAGTCTTATTTTGCCCATCTGAAAAAAGCCCTTTCGAGGTTTCTTTGCAGGAGAAATTTGGTTGGTGATGTTAAAAGGAGAGATTGCGGTGCCATTCGTTGAATGAACCCGAATCTCTCCCACCTCACCCCCATCTTTCACACCCTGCCCATAACAAACCTTATTCTTCTCCCCACCATTGCCCCCCACACCTTGCTTTCCCACCTCTTCCTCACCTCCCTGCCCACTCTCCTTCTCAACACTACGACTACGTCCCATGGACATGCCCGAGTGAACCAAATGAGTAGAATGAGCGAGTAGAGAAGAAGTCTTAGGTGTAGGTGGCCTGCAATTTCTCCTCCTCTCTTTCAAATCTTTCAAAAGCACAACACTGCGACTCTGCTCTTCCCCCACCTTAACCGTCTCCTCTTTCCCCCCTTCAGCTGCTGCGCTTTCCTCGCGGTCAACGTCATTTAAAGCAGCCTCAAAATCGAAGTCATCAAACGGGTTCTTCTCCTTGACACCCCGACGCACCGGAAGACGGTGATATGAACCCGCCTTCTTCCTTTTCTCTCCTCGCGTCATCGCCGCCACCGACAGAATCAGTATACGGAAGATGAGGATGATACAGAGGGGATGGAGATGAGAGGCAGCAACGTTGAAGGGAACCACTACAACTGAACTCGCGCGCCTCGATGCGGCCTGCGCCGTCGATGGAGGTGAGGTTTCTCTCCTCGATACGCTGGCGGTGCCCAGCACACACACCTAGCTGGCACAGTCACTCACACCGTCGCTGCTTGCACGCAATCGCTGCTTGCTGACAAGACAGAGCGACGCTTGCTGGCAAGACAGAGCGACGCTTGCTGGCAAGACAGAGCGAACTGCACAGCGCCTAGTTTTGAGACGGAGGGGACTGTATGAGGGTGTGAGGGGCTGAGAGGGGATCCCGCTGAGCACACAGCGACAACTCGTACGCCGCTCCGACTCCTGGTGTCGCGGTGACGCGTGCTGACAGCGACTTGAAGGCTCCCCAGACGCTGGGAGCTGTCAGATCGCACGGGAAGCGACGGCGACGACGCCCGGAGAACTCGAAACGCGGACTCAAGGGAGGGAAGGGGAGGGAGGAGGGACGATGGGACGAAACTCTAACGGTCAAACCCTGCGATTCTCGGGTTGTGGTTCCAAACCCTAGACCCTAGAAGCAGCTCTCATGACCATCACATTATCTAATGCCCGCAGCCATTTGTATCTCTAATGCCCTCCACCACCAGTCATCTCTCCTATAGAGCCAAGTGCACATACATCAGCTCTGTCCTATATGCTTCCAATTGTCGATAATCTCTTGCTCTTCTTCTGAGTCATCCTGAGAAACACGTGCGCAGACCATAGTACGCGGATTACCTAAGAAATGTGTGTGCCTACCTTGTTGAGTGCCGCCACAAACGGTGTGCCTGCTTGTGAGGGGTTGCGTGAACCCGACGTCGTCTGCATGGACGGCTTCTGGGCATCGTCATCGGATTCATCATCCTGCCACGACACACACACACACACACACACACAGAGAGAAGGCAAACCATACAGTGGACACCTTACGCATGCATTCGGTCGCACGAAGCGCCTCACCTCGCCTGAGACGGCCGTCCCTGCCGTCGGCTGCGTCCGCCCGCCCCATAGGCTATCTGCGTCAGCGGTCAGGCCAGCTGCTGACGTCTCCCACTTTGGCGGCACATCACTGACACCACCAAACAAAAAGAAAGATGAGCAGCTTTGACAGAACGACGTCCGATCGTGCCAGTCGCCCACCTGTAGAATGCATCCAGGTCCTCAAACGTCTCGAGCTTGGGCACCCGCGATGAAGGAGCCGAAGCAGCTGGGGGTGGGACGGCCGCTGACAAACCACGAAACACATCCACACCCACACACAATGGACCGTCTTCCCACCCGTTCCGTCGCTTTCTTTTCATCTCTCTCTGCTGGCTTACGTCTGCTTTCGATGCTCCTGGTCTCTGTGGCGGGAGGGGGTGGCGGGGGAGGGGCGTCACGGATGCTGTCGGGCGACGCATCCGCTGGGAACGCAGGGAGAGGCAGAGTTCCAGGCAGCAACTCGCCCAGCTGCACATCAAATCACAACACGTAGCACACACAACAGGGGAGGGAAGCAAGTGGGTGGCGTGGCCTAGGACATACATTCACGTGGCCGTGTGTACCGTGTGTGCGAGTGACGGGAGGTGATATCGCGTTTCGCGAGGCCTGGGGCCGCTGCTGTCCTTTCGCTGCTGGTTCTGCCGCTCTCGTTGGCGCTGCAGCTGCTGGCTGCACTCGAACAGAGGGTTGCGCCGAAGCCGCTCCTCTATGTCAGCAGCTGCGGGCACTGGTCAGACAGACAACGTGGATGCACCCATTTCGACTGACTGGATTGTGTCGGTGATGTCTCTTTCTTCCACACCTTGTTCGCCCTTGCGCGCAGCCGACGAGAGACAAAGCTCGAGGTACCACCAGCAGAAAGACGACCATGCTGCAACACACACACACACACACACACACATACACCACAGCAGACGTCAGATGCAGCATCCACGAGCATTCGATCTGTTTTTTCCCTCACTTCGTTTGGTATCATCGACAGGGGGAATCTGCCCGCTCTCAAGAATCTGACAGATGCACACAGGAGAGAGTTGCCGTCCTTCAGCCTCTCTCTGTGTGTGTGGCCTGGCTCACTCACCTTCTTGGCCTCCTCGACCACAAGGCTGTATGCCCTCCCCATATCCCTCACGTCGTAGCTCACGTCGTGAAGCGCCATGTTCGTCAGGTGATCGAACAGCTGCGTCAGGCGCGGAAAAATGGCTGCAGCCCACACAAACCAGGCAGGCACACGATACACACATGCATCGCATCCGTGGACCAAGCGTCCTCCTCTGTCGTCTGACCTTTTGACACATGAGCAGGGCACACCTTGTCGCTCGGGGTTGGCAGTGGCGAGAATTGTCGTGGCCCTTTCTTGGGAGAGGCGTCAGTTTGGGAGGGAGGGGCCGGTGCATCAGTGGAGGTCTCTCCGTTGATGGCCTCGGGGGCCGGTCGCTGCTGGTTGAAGCAGTGGAAGGCCCACACCTTCATGCCCAGACTCAATATCTGCTCAGAAGGCAAGCAGACGATATGCAGACGCACACATGAGGGAGGAAGGGAGGGGCCGGTGGTCCCTCTGCATACCTGCAGCTTGACCTCTTCGGGCTCCTGTGCGAATCGCTGCGTGAGTGTGCGCAGTGCGTCTGGTGCGACGTATGGGATCTCGCCCTGGTACTCGCCGATGATCCACACCACTGACGCACGGGCGGTGGGCGATGTCAGCGCCGTCAGATACCGCAGCTGACACAGACAGACCAGAGAGAAAGGGGGTCCATGCCATGTGGGCCTCTATGTAGTTCTGCCTGTCTGTCTGGTGTGTGGGTGGGTACGTATGGTGTGTGGGTGGGTACGTACCAGGTGGTTGACAATGGGCGCGAGTGTGTCGGTCTTGGTCCGCTGCTGCAGCAACGTGCGCACCGACACTGCACGCAGGAGACCGACCCGACACACACACGCAGACAGACACCTGATGGACGTCTGGAGTGCACTTGTCGTGTGTGTCAGTCAGGGTTGGGTGTGCCTGCCTGCCAGCCTCACCGACGGCCTCAGCAGCGAGTGCAGGGTTCTGCGAGTTGAGCATGCGGATCAGGCCACGAAGACAGCTGAATGAAGGGAAGAGCACACAGGACAAACACCACACCACACCAGCCAGCATCCGTCGGTGGTGCCTTATGCCCAGTGAGGTCAAGTCCCTCACTCACCTGTCTGTGACGGATTCGACCCTCAGGGCGATTGAGGTGATGGACCGCATCGCTGCACTCATGAAGGCCGGGTTGTCTGCATCACATCAAGGCCATGCCCACAGAGGAGAGCACCTGTCTGGTGGTACCATTTGGCTGCCGCCTGATGATTTTCTGCACACACACGCACCTGGCCATAGGACGTAGACCTGCAGCTCTCGGAGCACCAGCTGCACATTCGTCACTGCACGGAGGCGACGAGAGGATAACAAAATGCTGCAGTGTGTCTGCCTGTGTGTGTCAGAAGCTGGTACCGTCGCACAGCGTGTCAAGGATATCCAGCTTCATCATCTTGACGCGCGGGCTGTCAGACACTCTGCATGAACGAATGAACCCACATGGCACCAACAATCAGACACCCATATCCGTCGCATCTTCCTCCCTGCTTACAGCACGAAGAAGTCCCGTATGTGCGGCCTGAACAGATGGGGGATGGCCTCGATCAGGGGCTTCAGGACGGCCAGCACGGGGTCAGTGAGGTCGTCGGCTGCCGTCTTGAGCGCCCGTATCAGCGGCCTGACCATCTTGCGCACCTCATCCAAAGGCGCCAGGTAGAACAAGGCGGACGCTGCCGACACGACCACTGTGACGTACTGAGGGAGAAAGGGACCGATAAGGGATGCAGTCTGCTGTCACACCAGCTGGTGGGAACCTACCTGTGCTTTGAGGAGGAGAGTGAGTGTTGCGATGAACTGCTTGAGGTCGGGTGACGGGGGCGGCACCGAGAGCTTCGTGGAGGAGGCTGTTCTCGCATCTCCTTCGGGACCACACTCTGGTTGACACACCAGCCACAACCCAGACACAAGTCGCCATTGAGATCAATGCTTGTTCTCTTGTCGCCGGCCGTTGTCATTACTCTGTGTACCACTGAGCATTTTGAGCCTGAGCTGGTCTTCCCTCGGGTCGGTGAAGAACGTCCGGCAGTAGCGAACCAACACGTCTGACCTCACACGCAGAGAGACAGACAGACAGACGACAAACACACGTGAGTCCTGCTTCCCATGCCGGCCTCTGCGCGATCTCTCACTCTACTCACTCACTCACCGATAGTGACTGCCTGCGCCCAGGGCTCCATTTGGAGCAGACACCCACACAACCTGACAGCCACACACACGTGCAGCACGCCGTCAGTGACCTTAAGGAGGTGTGTTCACCTTCCCTGTTTTACCTCCGATAGTGGCAGTGCAGCAGCGCCAGGTTGGCTGTCTGTGGCGATTGCGATGCCTCATGCGATTCGCTGTTTGCCTGGGTGGCGTCCTCAGTGGGCTCGGGGGGCGAGATCAAGCACATCTACACACACCACACAGCACAGGAGAGGGCCGTCACTGCCGTGTCCAGACAGACACGCAGGCATTGCCACTGTGTATGCTTGCACGCCACGCGCACCTCAGAGAAGGCGACCATGGCGGTGCCCACCACACACACCTGCCAGCCAACAGATAAGCAACCATGTGAGTGAGTGAGTGAGTGCCTGCTTGTTGTCTGAGTGGAGATTCCTTCTGTCTGACCTCGATGTCACTGAGGAGTCTCAGCAGTATCTCACGCAGAGGCAAGAACTGATCAGGATCGATCGCATACACCTGCACGCGCGCGCCAAAACAGATAGATAAGACACGGACAATCAAGACCTCCCTCCATTTGGGCATCTTTCTTCCTCCCTTGGCGAACTGAACTGACCTTGGTGATACAGTGCGCTGCCGTCTTGCGCACGTAGGGCGAGTTGTCGGTGGAGGCCTTCCTCACTGCTAAGACCACCAGCTGAATGATCTCGAGCACACGGATCGACGCCATCGCCCTCAGTGCCGACGCACGCACAACAGGATTGCGGTCACTCAGATCCTGCGACAAAGAAGGAGAACGATGGATGGATGGTCTTGGTGCCATGCATGCCATTTCTTGTCTGTCTTGTGCTTGCACCTTTTGGAAGCTGTTGATTGAGAGCAGTGCCAGATCCCTGTTGCCGTCTGCGTGCTGGACGAGGTACATGTAGACGAGCTTCTTGAGCTCCAGGTTGGGCGTGAAGATGTTCTTGACCACATCAGGGAACAACCGACTCACGTCACGACCTATCGAGTGAGCCTGACAGACAGACAGACGGACACAGCCAACCGCAGGCAGGCAGACACATCAGAGAGAGAGAGAGAGAGAGATCTGCGCACATGCATGCAGGAAATCGCCTTTTCCATGGTTTGGTGACTCACCGCGAGCACTCGCTTCATGGCCTCGAGCTTCTTGTCGACGGCCAGCTCGTTGAGGCTCCGTTTGACCTCTCCCTCTGAGAACTTCTCCTCATCGAAGTACTGTGACTCGGAGGACGACACCATCGATATGATGTCCCGCACGCCCGCGGAGGCCTTCTCGAGGTAAGGCGCTGCCGAGGTCGGCAACATGGCGATGGATGATGATGATTGACAGACAGATGACTTAAAACCAAAGCCCAGCGGAAAAGCGGATGGAAAAACGAATCACTGCCGTGCTTACTGGACCCCGGCAGATGCCTGGCGAGCAACACCAGCTTAAGATCTCAGAGGGAAAAAGGCCGGCAGCGGTTTCAGGGAGCACCCTAGAGTCTGCGAGCTAATCTTGCAGACTTTGTGCAAGACGCTACCCGTCTTGCTGCCTGCTGCCTTGAGCCTGACGCCATCCCTCATGATCAGCTTGCTGCTGGCGCCGATCTGCATCTTTGTCTGTTTGTCATCGACTCGTGCTTTTTTCCAGCCGCATGAGCCACCAGCGTTCGTGTTGCCTCCAGCAGGCATAACGTCGGCCAGCCGGCCACCGGCATCAGGGCGGCAGCGCGCTTCTCATGCAGAGATCCGCCTTCACTCAGCATCGCCGGCCACTGAGGCGAAGGAGTCGCCTTTCGAGAACCTGCGTGAAGTGGAGTACAGGCGCGGCGCCGAGACCCTGCCGCTGACACCCGAGAACGTTGAGACCGTCCTGGATGAAGTCAGGCCATACCTCATTGCTGACGGTGAGTGGGGTGAGCTGGTGGGGATGGATGGATGGATGGACAACCAGCTCAGACAGACAGACAGACCAATTGCGAGTGAGTGTCCATCCCTCCCTCTGTGGGCTGGTTGGTGCAGGTGGGAACGTCTCTCTGAAGTCGATAGAGGGGCCTGATGTCTATCTGCAGCTTGAGGGCGCGTGCGGCTCGTGTCCATCATCAGTCGTCACTGTCCGAATGGGTGGGTGGGTGGGTGCATAAGGACTGGATAGACATACCTGACGCATGCCATGTGGCCCATCTGTCTGTCTGGTTGTGTGTGTAAGGGGTGGAGAGGCGGCTGCGCGAGAGGATCCCCGAGATCAACAGCGTAGAGGCTGTCAGGTAGGTCCCGAAGAACAACCTTGGCCTCTCGCCATCCGAATGGTGTGAATGTCTTGGATGTGTGTGTTGTGTGGCTGGGGTGTGCAGCGAGGGTGCGGAGAACGGGATGGCTTTCACCAAGGAGAATGTGGAGAAAATCCTGGACGGTGTGCGGCCCTTCATCAAGATGACGGGCGGCGACATCACTGTGGTCGAGGCCAACAAGGTGGGCAGCGTCGCTGCCACTGTGGCGCTCAAGATGACCGGCAGATCAGCAGAAAACCGATCCATCAGGGTAGGCAGGCGGCATAGAGAGAACAGAACGGAGGGAGGCATAAGCCACGTCCCACCCACACTTGTGTGCACGTGTGTGTGTGCTGCGTTGGCCTGACAGCTTGAGATCCAGCAGAGGCTGCGGCGGAACTTCCCTCTTCTCAACTCGGTACGCTCAGCAGCAAGCCCATGTCTGTCTTGCGCAGATAGGAATTCGACGTTCGCTCTCTGTTCCCCTGCCGCAGGTTACCTTCGTGTGACATCTCTCTCTCGTGCCGGGGGGACGGGCGGCTCATTTTGTAGGCGGTGTGTCGGATGTGTTGTGTGCTTTTACCTAGAGTGTTTGATCCGACGAGGGCTGCGTGCCACACGGGGGGACGTGTGCACTGTGCAGCGCGCCTTCTGGCGGTCGATATCGATACTTGCCTACTTACCCAGATGTTTAATGACACGGAACTTCCTCTTTGTACAGATCTCTCGATGGATGGATGTGACAGCTGTTGCGAATTGAATTTTTGACTGTGTTTCGATGTGCGTGTGGGACTGCTGGCCTCTTGCAAGACACATAACGATGGATTCAACGCACACACTTCCAGACACCACAAATCCTCTTTCTTTCTTCCTCTCAGTCAGTCAACCAATCAGTCAGTCAACGAGGGGCCGTCACAGCCCGCCGCACCCCTCCATAACCGACCCCACCCCCCTCCCTCGCAGACACACACGGCAACGCCATACCACAGCAGCTGGGCGTCTTGTCCCGCTGTGCCCTCTCCTCCTCCTCCTCCTCTGACGAGGCTGACGAGGGCACCGAGACGGTCGGGGGGAATGATGGGGGGGCACGGACGACTGCTGGCCGGGCTATAAGGGGAGGAACTTGTGGTGGTGGGGCGGGTCGGATGAGGAATGGTTGGGGCGGAGGCGGGGGGTAGAAGACTCGTGTCACGGGAGGCGGGACCTGCACCGGATACCAATCGCTGAAAGGAAGAACAGCAGCGCATGCACAGAGACACAAAGAGTGGGCATGTCGCGTTCAGTGCAAGGTTTCCTTCCTTCTTGTCTGTCTACCGTTCTTCAACAGGTGGCGGCGCCCAACGCCACTGCGGTTCCTCCCTCTCTGGCCTGGCAGCAGCCTGCTGCCCGGCCCTCATTTGGTTGGCCAGCTCTATGTATGTCTCCAGCTGCTGCTTCAACAGACTCAGCTCCCTCTCTAGCGCCTCTATCGACCGCTGGTCATCCTCTGCACCTTCGGCCATCGCCGGCCCAGCGGCATCGGCCATCTGCTGGGGCTGCTCTCTTAGCTGTTGGAAGATGCTTCTCAGACCCTCGATGTCTGTGGGTCGGTTCTGCCTTTCGTTGATGCGCCTAAGGGCCGCAATGAGGTCCTCCTCGACAGACTGCTCGATCTCAGCCGTGACAGCTGACAGGCCGGTGAGCACCGACACACCAGAAGCGGAAAACCCGTGATTAGCTGCTGCGGCCGCTGCTGCAGCCGCTGGCTGGGGCCTCGTCATCGAGAAGGTGAAGGGCTCCATGGGGGTGTCTCTCAGCGGGGAAATCATCGATATGATGGACTCACGGTCCCCCTCAGGCTGCTGCGTGGTGTCGATGGTGAGGCCCCCGAGCGACCGCTGCGGCACCCTCTGGGGTGAGGGCATCGGTGTCGAGATGAGGTCGTGTGGTGAGGGGCCTGAAGGAGTGGACCGCTCAGAGCCTTCGAGGAGCGGGCTGAGTCGGCCGCCGGGGTGCACGGGGGACACCAAGACGGGGGGGCGGAGGAAGGCCTCCGCGAGGGGCGATTGGACTGGGGTCACGAATGCGGGAGACGCAGCTGATACCGACTGTAGCAAGAACAAGACACAAAGGGGGAGCCATCGAGCCATATATTGCACTGTTGGACTTTGTCTCTTGTCGCGGTGTTACCCACCTCCAGCTCCTTCTGTGCCATCTGGAGCCGCCGCTTCAGCGCGGCGTTCTCCTTCGTCAGTGCCTTTGCGCGCCCCCTCCAATCCACCCGTTGCCCCTCCCGCAGCGCATCCCTCACCTCTCGATCGCTCTCGCTCTCCTCTGCCTCGACCTCACCCGCTGCCCTCTGCGGGCCAGACATGAGCTGCCAACTCTCGGGGATGCCCTCGACCGGCTCCTCATCCTGTCGCGACAGCTCCATTGTCGCCTGCAGCTCTGCGCTGAGAGACCCCGGGGTCGGCGGCATACCCACTTCAGGAGCCTTGGGCTCGGGCGGCGGCCGCTCGGCGAGTGAGAGGGGCTCCATGGTGGGCGGTCGTCGCATTTTCTGCTGGGCCTGGATGGATGACAGGAGCGCCTTGAGCTCGTCCCGCTCAGACGAGAGCTGCTCGTTCTCTTTGATGAGGAAGTCGGAACGTGATTCGAGGTCGAGCACTAGACTCTGCAAGCGCTGCATTTCCCCAAAGCTGCGCCAGACACACAGAGAGGAGAGTAGCAGCTCGTTTTTGCTAAAGGGAGCGAGGTGGCTACGATGGAGACGGCGGCTGCTGCTCGTGACTTCGCTCGGCAGCGGGTGAAGCCTCGGACAGACTCAAGCGCTCATCTCTCAAGGCCGTCTGAAGAAAGAAAGAAAGAAAGAAAGAAAGAGAGAGAGAAAGTGGCCGGCCGGCCGCATGCGTTTGCTTCGATGGCGCGTGACCTGCAGCCGATCGATCTCTTCCCTGAGGGCCTGCAGATATCGACACAGGGCGGAGTTGTGTCGTGACATGGCGAGTTGCGAGCTGCTCGCGTACATGCATTTCTCTCCTCGCAGTGTGTCGTTCGCTCTCGGCCGCATTCGCCCTCATCTCAGCCTCCTCCAGGAGGACTTGCAAGTGATTGTTCTGCACCGTCAGCGCCTTGAGCTGACACACACGACACACAAACGTTGCCTTGCCGTGTGTGTATTTCTTCTTGTCTGCCTCTCCGATGCGTACGTACGTTGTCAACGTGTCTGTCTCTGTCTGACTTGGCGGCCTCCAGCTGCTCCCTCATGTCGTTGACATCCTCCACCAACTCGTCATACTCATCCGCTGTGGGCTGCGTGCGGCCGTGCCGCGGCTGCAAACAGGAGAGCATTGGCGCCACAGTCAGAGAGACACGTCTTTGATCGTAGGTGTATGTTTCTGGATGCGAGCAACTAAGTACCCTGGATAGTTCCTCGCTTTGCCTTCGGCTAAGGTTGAGCGTACTGGCCCGCTGGAAGCGCTCGGTCATGCGTCTCAAGGCAGTCTCCTGCACACACGCAGAGTGATGCCTGATGCGATCATTCCATCCGAGTGTTGCTGTGACGTGACATACCTTCTCTTCAAGCTCCTTCTCCAGAGAGTCCACCAAGTCGTGCAGCATGCCCAGCCTCCTTCCCAGCCTCGTACTGGCGAACCCTTCCGGTGTCATCCCCTCGGGCACAAGGGAGTACCTCCCTCTGGCTGGGCCCCCGCGAAAGTCAGACGGCTTCCGGCTCGGCAGGTCCTCTGTCCCAACTGTCAACCACCAGTCTGTGTCAGCAAGTGACGCGACGAGAGAGTCGTGTCTCACCAGGGCTGGTGTCAATCGATCCGCCGACAGCCATCGACTGGCTGTAGGCCAGGGTGGCGACGCTGGTTCGCCCACTTTGCCTTCGGTCGATGACCATTGCTGTGGGAATCTGGTTCAGCATCGTCCGGAGGGCCTGCAGGCAACAGTTGAGATGAATTCCTTGTCAGCTTCTCTCCTCCCCATGATGCTTGCGTGTCTCTTCGTACCCCGAAGACCGACACTTTTCTCCTCGCCTCTGCCTCATCCATGTGGGAAGGCGTGACTCCAGGCGTTGTGCGGCTCGACGGACGCTGACTCCGATACTCGAGGGCCATCTCCTGCCGCCAGACACATTCGTGCATACATCCAGCACTGCGGCTGCGCTTTCCCCAATCCATCCATGCACCTGTCCTTGTCTGTCCGCCGGCGGCGACGTCACCGCCCTCTCACCCCTCCCTTCCGTCACGCGGCGCTCCCTCGAAGCCGACAGCCGCCGTGCGATCGGGTCACTTTCCCTCCCAGCCCGCGGGGCGATATCGCCTGGCCCACCTGAAAGGTGGAGGCGAGGAGAGGCGATTGCAGGCGGACTGATGATGCCTTTCGGGGATAGGCGCCCGTCGGGGCCCTCGGAGAATGTTTCTCTTCGTCGAGGTGCGCGTTGGAAAGGTGCCCTGGGAGCTGGGATGGCAGGAAGGGGCGACTCTGCCAGAGGAGGGACGACCTGAAAAAGGAAAAGGGGGAGCATTCCATTGCAAGGTCAGCTCTGCCATGGAGCGCTCTTCACCACTGATACGCTGCGCTTCGGCTTCCGCTTTGCAGCTTCGCTTCCCTTCGGGAGGGGTTTGTTTGCAGTGGGAGATTTGCTCGTTGGTGACCTGCTTGTGCCCTGCTCCTGGACGAAGCTCACAGCTTGAATGGCCTTCATGCTCTCCGTCCCGGGTCCCTCAATGGGAATGTATCCGTTCCTCTGTGCCTCCCGCTTTACGCGATCGGGGTGGGGGCGGCCCCCATGAGGGGAGCATGCATGCACTACTAGTCCTTCTCCTCCAAAATGATGTCAAACTCGCTCCGTCTCTCCCTCATTGACAAGCCAAGATCTCCCTCTGGCCCTCATCTGCCGCGAATTGGTGTCCAGCGGCTTCCCAGCCCTGCCACCGCACAACGCAGGAAAGGCGAAAAATGTCCCCGATCACTGCTATTTGTCGTGCTTCTTGCGTTCTGCGGTGCCATCAGCGTCATTGTCTTAGAGCTCTACTTCCTGTCCATGGCCTACGGCGATGAAACCATCCTGTTCGACGAGGTATTCAGGGCGTTCCTCCGCCATCTCTTCAAAGCCTTTCAGCGCGAACCGCCTCGCGTCCTCCCTTCCTGCGATGACTCGCTGCCCCGACCCTTCGCCCCTTTGCCATTTGCAGTGAATGCCACGCCGGCAATGTACGCCCAGTTCGGCCGGTCGAAGCTGAACCGCATGGCAGCTGGTGACCCGAGACGGGCCAACGCGCGGATGCTGGGGCCAGTCACCAGATGGGACTACCGATACGAATGCCGCGATGACAATAAAAGGCGGTCACGGATGTCTCTGAGGAGAACTGGATACAATGGCGAGAATGACAGGCGGCGCTTGAGAGGAGACGGGAAGGGGGATGAGGCGGCACATGAGGCTGATGGGATAGATTGGCGGTTCTACACAGTCAATCGGAGCGACCCAGTGGTCATACTGGAGTGGGCAAACCCTCCGGCTCACATCGGGATGGCGGGCGTGCTACAAATTGACGATGGCATGTTGAACTGCGATGTGCCGTGCTTCCTTAGCAAGAACAAGTGAGCCAGCATCTCATGGGGCGATGGACGGACCTTCTGGTCTCCTCCTTTCGTTGCCAGGAAGAAGTGGATAGCGGCTGACGCGATTGTCTTTGGGGCTTATGATCGTGACTTTTCCAAGGGCCTGGTGAAAGACAAGCCAATACACCAGGTGAGAGACACCGCGGACGAGGCGCACGTACAGGGATTGGTGCAGGGGATTGTTGTCAGTATTGGGCTGCCAACACAATGGAGGTCGCAGACTGGATGCAGGATGCAAACACCCTCAAGTAGGTGGACGTCTGCCTCTGCTCTCCATGAGACACGTACCGTATTGCCTTTTGTGTCCGTGCCCGTGCAGCCGATTTGATTTGAAAATGACGGTGCAGCTCAACAGCGATGTCCCGAGGATCTACTTGGGCTGGTCGGCGTATGATTGGCTGGCGCCCCCTCGCCCCAAAACGGGCAAGCATCTCGTCAGCGCTCTCATTTCGAACTGCAGAGACAAGTAAGATAGGGACGACAGAGACAACGAACACCAGGGCAACATAGGAGCATCGCTGTGTCTCCGCTGGCATCTGCAGCAACGGTCGTCTCCGGTACATGCAGGAGCTGATGCGACATATTCCCGTCGCTTCTTTCGGGAAATGCGTTCACACTGCAAACGCGTCCGACGTCTTGGGTCTCTTGTCACACCGCTTCACGGCCAACAGAGGGCGTGAGAAGAACGCTCTGCTGTCCCGCCACAAGTTTCATCTCGCCTTTGAAAACACCAATCTCCCGGATTACGTGACGGAGAAATTTGCCCAGGTCAGCCCCTGCTGGTTGTCGATTGTCCTCTCATTCATTCATCCATTTGTATGCCATGCAGGCGCTGTCTGCCGGGACGGTGCCCATTGTTCTCTCTCGCGTCAGCAACCATCACTCTTTCGCCCCCCCGCCGAAGAGCTATATCGTGGCGGAAGACTTTGAGTCGCCCAGGAAGCTGGCAGACTATCTGCGCTACCTTGACAGCCACCCTCGGGAATACAACAAATACCTCAGCTGGAAGCGAGTATGCAACACCCCCCCTCCCCTCACACATGGCACTGAGTGTATGCATTCATGTCCAATTTATGTTGTGTTTGTGCCTTCAGGAGCCTTTGTCTCCTTCTTTCCGCCGTCTGTTGTCGCTCAACTACCCCGACAGTACCTGCCATCTGTGCCGGTTTCTCGCGGCCGCTCGAGACATCGATGCAGGCTATGTCGACCTTTCCCGTTTCCCCCGCGTCATCCATCGCCCGGCACCCCCAGCGAAGGCCACATCATTCGTTGACGCATGGAACTGGGAAGCTGACGAGCTCAAGGAGGCTGAAATAAGGCAGAAATTTGTGACCTTCGAGGGGTGGGAGGGGCGCGGGGTCGACTTGAGGCTGCGGGGAGGGGCGATAGCAAAGGAGCAGGAGAAGGAGACGCCCGCGGCCGTGAATGGGGGTAACACATGAGGGATGGATGGCGATATTCCTTGATGCGATGCGCATGGCATTGGACGGAAAAATATAACTCGCTCGGTTCGTCTGCCGCGTGTCGTGCTTAGCATATCTGTGCTTTTCTCCCTTGTCTGTCTGTCTGTCAGACTCTGTCTGTCGCTCTGAGTGACTGGGTCATGCGGTGAGAAGGAAATGAGAACCAGTGAATGAATGGATCTTCCGAAGCTGCACAAGTACACCGAACACGAGACAGCACTGCTCAATATGCGCGGACCCCGGCGTCTCTCCCTCGCCGTGTGACTTGCTTATATGCTGCCACCATCTTTGCAAATCAAGTATCTTTGATCGGTCTCTATTCTTGCGTTCCCCCGCATCGTCGACATCAGCAGCTGCAGGCAACAATAACGCCGCAGAAGATAAGATGCACGCAGTGCTGAGAGGAGCAGCACTGTCGGTGTGTGGACTTGTGTGTGGCGGTTGCACGTGACCCGGCAGATATACAATGAGATTGGTAAGGGTCGCGATTTGTGTGGATACATACATACGCTGTCTGACCGATCCATGTCTGATGAATACAGTGTGATGCAGCAGAGGTCTGACGCATCGAATGCAATGCCTGTCCAGCGTATCGAGGGACATATACGATGGGCTTTGACGCTGGCAAAGACTGTCGGATATAAAATACAGGCAGCGATGTTGCGCGGCCACAGATGGCCGCGATCAGCCCAATCAGAACATCCACACACACCCAACACGAATGTGAGATGGGATGGGTCACTGAACAATACACCCAGAGGAGGGAAGGACAAGCACACAAGGAAAATATCCTTAGCTTATGCGTATCTCAGAATGTTCTGCTTTGCCCACTTGGGTTGCCGGTGTCTGAGCTGATTAGACGCACGAAAATATAAAATGTAGACAGAGATACCTTCCCATCTCGTGCAGCCCAGCATCCCTACCGCCGCCTTGACCCCCCTCACGCATGCCCGCACAGCTGCCTCCACGCCGTCTGCCGCCCCACGCGCTAGGGCCTTGGCCGTCATAGACACGTCTTGGTAGGCCGCCCTCACCTCGTACACATTGGGTGCCGTCTCGCTCCGCTCCCACCATTCCCAGCAGCCCATGTGGGGGTTCTTGTACCAGCCCTCGTCCACCTCGCCGCTCACGCACACCAGCTGGCGTGGGGAACGCGGCTGTGTGCGGGCGATGCAGCTTGGGAGCGGGTGCTGCTGGTGGTGGTGGGAATCCCGGGTGTGCTGGCCTCCTGGCGTAGTGGGCGTGCGGTGGATGCGCTGCTGCTGGTGGTGGGGCTGCCGGCCATGCGGGTCTCGTGTAGCGGGCCTGTGGTGGATTGGCTGCTGCTGGTGGGGGGACTGGCTGTGTGGGCCTCGCGTACACCGGGGATGCTCCCCCATGCACAGCCGCCAAGGCGCCGTCACTGGCCTCCCCTGATAAACAACGTGACAGACCGAAGACAATCAGAAGTGCTATACTTGATGCATTCGTCTTGTCGACGTCTATTTGCTCACCGGGGTAAGTTCCCCCCTACTGCCATCACCGGTCGGCTTGTTCCACTGGCCGAACCAGGTCAAAACACCCTAATCAATGACGGACGAGGAAGGGAACGGTGGATGAGATGAGCAGAGACATACGGGTGGAGGGGATGCCTGTCTGCCTGGCTGACCGCCCTCCGTCACTCACTCACCTCTTCCTTGACGACCTTCCCGGTGGATGAGTCCTCGAGGTCCTTGCGCACCCGTTGCATGACACCAAGGCGGTAGGTCTTCCAGTCACGGCACGCGGCGGAGTCGTCAAAAAGCCATCAGAATATAAAGTATAGGCAGCGATATGATCCTGAAGACAGGGAGACAGAGACGTCGCGCACAACACATGACATCCTCAGTCCAATTTGCACCTCCTTGGCGGGTCCCTCGGCGTCGGCAGCAGCTTGGTTTGGTGTGCCCTCCTCTGCGGCTGCTTGCGGTGCCGCTGGTGGCTGTGGGTCGGCGAGGGCCTGCTGGGCGGCCTCGGCGACGCAAACGTCTTGCTTGGGCGTCCTCGGTGACGTGACCGATGGTGGCGGCACGACAAAGGGCGCGTCGGGCAATGCGGCCGTTGAGGGCAGCAATGGGGACGGGCTTGGTGTGCCCTGGTCCCTCTGCGGGCTGGGACTGGGGCTGCTGCTCGGTGGCCGGAGGCAACTGAATCCACCCTTGGTCGGCGCAGTGTCGGAGAACGTCGTGGACGCTCTCTCGGCCGTCTCGACGCAGGTATAGCGCCATCTGGAGGCTGCACACGAACTGCGTCGTGTGACCAGTCCTTCCTTGCCTCCTTGCCTGATGCATGTCGTACCTGTGCCTTTCTTCTCTCTTCTCGTCGCCTCCTCTCGTATCTCCAGGCGAGCCAGCCGGACACACACGCACGGACCGATGCACTCGTACACAGACTCTCGGATATAAAATGTAGGCAGCGATATTGCTGCGAAGGCAGCCTGCAGACAGAGAGGGACGGAGACAGAGATGCAGGAAACTTGGTAAGGCATCATCGGTGACATGGCAGATCGTCCTCCTTGAGCCGCACCCTCAGCTGCTCCAAGCGGTGCTGCGCCGTGAAGACGAGACCCCTCATCGGCCGCCCTGCGATCAGGTCCTCGCACCCTTTGATGGCCACCTCCTTCTGCTGCTGCCGTGGGTCGTCGGGCCGCACCCGCTGTGCCCTGTCCAGGACACGCCGCCACGTCCATCACGCTCTTGAATGTCTCCCACTCCTCCCATAGCAGCACCACGCAGGCCAACGCCGTGTGGTAGGTGACGGTGCCGGCGTGGCCGCAAGGCATCTCCACTGGGCCCTCCCCCTTGAGGAGCCGCAGAGTGGCGTCTGCCTCGTCAACGATGGCAGCGGGGTCGGTGAAAGGGGCCGGGGTGCGGCAGGGGCGCACGTCCGCCAGCGTGTTGTAGGTCACGTGTGCGGCTTTGTGGTCGGTGGTCTCGAAGGCCGACTCGTAGTCGGCTAGCCGACACGTGTAGCGGGTGTGCTGCTGGCACCGTGGCCGGATTGGCGTCGGTGTGCACCGAACCCTCCATCGAAACAGCTACAATCCAAGCTTCTTTTCTCTTCACAGGAAGCAAAGAAGCCTGCTTTGCTCTTTCTTTTCCTTCTTGTGAGGCGGTGGCAACGCGCCTCACCCGCATCCCACTGGTGCTCCCGCAACCCCAGCTGCCGCATGATGGCGTCGGTGTCGGGCCATGACGCGCCGCTGACGGCCTCGATCAGCTGCAGCAGGTTGATGCGGAGGGGCGGCTCGGGTGAGGGCGACGCATTGGGCAGCAGGGTCACCATCTGGAGCACCAAGAAGGCGCCCGTGGGAGAGATCCATCCGTCATGCAGGCGACGATCTCTCTCTCTCTCTCTCTCTTGGCTGACCTTCTGAACGTTGCTATGTGATCCAAACTTGGAACAGCGAACACACGAATAACGGTGCCTCTTGTCCACCCCATCACCACCACCAGCACCGACGTCGCCTGCATCTTTGAGTCAAGGTGACGGCCTCCGCTTCCTCCTCAGCGGCCCGAGACCCCCCTGGCCGACTGAAGGGGCTCCGGCGGTGCTGCATGGCCCACCGCTGTCACCTCTTGGGCCGCATCATCACGGTCACGCCCTGTTCCCCCAGGTCGCCCCTAGCCAGCACTGCTGGGCAGATGGGCTCCTCGTGGGGGGAGCGCGGCAGGGCATAGATGCGCTCCATCAGGCGGCCCTCCTCAGCGGCGGGTCGGCTGACTTCAGCCGTCCGTCGGGCGGCCCGCTCCGCTCGCTCCTCGTTGGTCTCCCGCTCCGCGATATCCAGCCAGGCGGCCGGGAGTGGGAACTTGCCCACTGCGAGCTTCTGGAGGCTGGGAGACCAGAGTGCCGGCAGGACGGTCCTCTCGCCCATCCACACCACCACAGTGTCTTAGCCTACAGACAGCAGGAGCAATGATGCACTCAATGGTGTTGACCGACGTATGTGCGAGGAAGGTTTCCTTACATTCAGGGCAGGGCCGAGCGTCGCGCGGGGACATTTTGCTTTTACTGATGTCACACATTCACACATTCACACAATCTAAGCTTTGACCCTCCTGTCCGTCGCCGCCTTGTAGTTCACCGTGGCGACCGACGGCAAACTGACAAATCAAGCCACACACAGACAAGAGAGGAGAATGATGTCTGGTGTTTTCTCTCTTTCCCTCTCCCGGACTTCCAGCCCCACTAGCTCACTCAGATGACGTCTTCAATTTGGTCCACGCGAAGCACGGCGTCGCATCAAACAGGTCCCTACAGCTGGCCGGCAAATTATTCATCAGGGTAGTCGAGACCGTCGTCGCGTTCGGTCCAGTCCCGCGATACGCTGCCGTGCGGCTGCAAAGAGCACGTGCTGCCAGCAACCATTTCTGGTCTCGTCCGCGTTTTCATGTCACTCACCTTGTTGGTATGGATGGTCAGGGTAGATGGGCGGCATGTTTGGGCGCCCCCTTCAGCTGTGCGAGATGTGCATGCGCACCCGTGAGGAATGACTTCAGCCACCGTCTGCATTTCCAGCATCAGTGCCGTCAGCATCACATTGGCAAAAGCCTCCTTGTCTGATTTGCACACGCGCGCACACATAGAGGGGAACATCCGTGCACCGTGTATGTGCCTCCCTCCCTCCCCCCCCCCTCTCTCTCTGGTGCATGCGCCGCGTCTGGATGATGTTGTCTTCGATGCACTTTTTCGGGGCTGGAATCGGCTTGTGCGCCTTCGAAAACTCCCCCAGATCCGAGGCGATGTCACCCAGGCCGGGATGCATCTGAAAGTCCCACATGTGCTTCTCCACAATACGCAGCGAAACGCCTCAAGCCAATCGCTGAACACAACGAACAGGCAGAGAGATGCGTGTGGGTTGTATGTGTGTGTGTGTGTGTGTATTTGGTTCCCTTACTCATGAGGTGGCTGGCCACTTCGTCTGCCATAAGGCGGCTGCTCTCCTCGGCGGACAGCGGCATGAGTTCCTGGATGGTCTTGACGATGTCTTCCAGCGCGGGAAGGATCCCATCGACCTCGGCTGTCGATGGCTTGCCCTCCAGCTCCTGCTTCTTGTCCTGCACGAAGATCAGCAACCTCCCGAGACGTCCATTGTCGGTGATGTACCGCAGAACGAGGACGTGGGGTGGCCCCCCGGGTGGCTGCGGCTGATGTGTGGTGCGAAGGAGATATGGGAACGGCCGCAGGACGGAGAGAGAGAGAGAGAGAGAGAGAGAGAAGGGTGCAGAGGATGCGGCGGAAGGATGCGGCGGAAGGATGCGGGAAGGGATATTCAAAATTTGTAGGGACACGCAAAAGTTGGCCGTCTCGCATTCTCGCCAGTCTCATGAAATGATTTCTCGCCAAATTCGCCTTTTTGTCTTTCTTGTCCGTGGAGAAAGCTATCTCCAGCCGATTGGAGACCACGTGGACCACTGTAGGGAAAAAGTGTCGTCCTCAAATTCTCCAAGGTTGCGAGCCGTCTGTAGGATTTACTGGCTGGCAAGCCCTCGAAATTCTTCGTCCAAAGCGAAGCTTTTCGCTTCAGTACTGTTTCTCTGAGTCCGTTTCTGAGCGCGTGAGGAACAGAGTAACAGCGACAAGGTCACCCCTCACTCAGACAGGCGGTATTCCACCTTCCCGTGCAGAGCGTCGTTTCTGTCGACGACACAACGCACTCTGACATCGAAAATGGCCAAGAGGAAGCGAGAGGGAGAGCGGGCAACGCGCTGCGTACTCCGCCGTTGGTCTTCTGACTCCAGTTCGGCCTCAACCACTACCGAGTACACTACACTCTACTTCCCTGACACGTAAGCAGACACCAGCCAGGAGGGGGTGCTTGACTCGTGTCTCACGTCGTACCTGTATCTACCTGCCTGTGCCTGCCTGCCTGTGTGTGTGTGTGTGTGTGTGTGTGCCTGCAGAAGCTGCGAATGTGACTTTGCCTACAGAATGCCGACCTCGCTCGGCGAGGGAGGGAATGGGAACGTCTACAAGGCCATCCAGCAAAGCACGGGCACGATGGTCGCCGTGAAGGAGGCCAAGACAGAGGACAACTCCGCAGCCGCCAGGATATCCGCCGTGAGAGCCTGCCGGAAGGAGGTTCGCCTCATGGAGCTGCTTGGTGGTCACAAGCACGTAGTGAAGCTCATCGCGACGTGCACGTGTGCGACCACGGCTCCAGGCTGCCAAGGTGCTCTGATGATGGAGCTGTGCGACGACTCACTTCACGGCTTCCGGTGTCAGTCCTACCCCGCGGGCCTCCCGCCCGCCGTGCTGCGCCGGGTGCTCCGTCAGCTGCTGTCTGCGATGGCCCATCTGGAGCAGAACGGCGTGTGGCACTGCGACATCAAGCCCGAGAATATCCTGGTCAAACACCAAGGTACAACACACACACACCACTCGCCACGCTCACACCTTGCACCCACATGGATGGACCGCTGTCTGTCTGCTCTTTGTCTGCTGCAGAAGGGTGTACGTTGATCAAGCTTGCCGACTTCGGCAATAGCCGAGAGGTTGCCGACACCGGTCGAGTGACGGAGACTGAGATGCAGACGCCATCCCACCGGGCGCCGGAGGTGCATCTCAAGGCGGCACTGGCTGCTGCAGCAAATGGTGAGTGCTCTCTATATTCGTACCAATATGTACACACATCCTCTCGCTGAGTCGGTCCCTCCCTACCATGGATGGTCATGTGTTATTGCGTGATGATAGCGTGTCGTTTGTCGGACTGCTCTGTCATCTACGTTACGTGTCTGATAGTATGTTTGTGTGTCGTCTTGCCTATGACTTGGGGTGAGCGAGGACTTACGTGTGCATGAAGATGTGGTGAAACTCTCAGACACACAAACCGCCCTTGACACCGCAAATCGCCAATCGCCACTCAAGCTTTGCTTGTGCACGGCTCATGAGGTGAGAACTCTTTGGTTCTCCCAAGAGTGGAATCTGTGGGTTGTCCTGAAGTGCAATGGAATGGCATGAGATGGCATGGCGTGTCGAATGAACGCTACATGTCCCGTGCCCTCATGGCACTGCTGACATGCGCGTCGGCAAAGCTAGAGTCCCATCGATCAGCCGCATGACCAGGAGCAGAATCCCAAGATACACAGACTTGGAGACATGCGGAGACAGACAACCTGAACAGAGAGAGAGAGAGAGAGCCTGAGAGCCAGACAGACAGACAGGCAGACAGGCAGAGAGACAGACAGGCAGGCAGGCAGACAGGCAGACAGGGAGAGAGACAGACAGGGAGAGAGACAGACAGGCAGGCAGACAGGCAGGCAGGCAGGCAGACAGGCAGACAGACAGTGAGGGAGAAAGGTGTGGTGGATGGATGTCTCCACGTTGTTATTGTTCCGCCCCTTGTCGAGCCGCACCTGTCGAGCCGCTAAATGAATCATGTATTTGTTCCCCAAACTTGGTCGGCAGAAGATACGAGACAGTGTCTCTTCCGACGCTGTGAAAAGACAAGTGTCTCTTGCACAAACTGTCTTCTCACGTAAGACACACGAGTGTGTGCCTCATAGCCACAGTCGGTGTGTCTCAGACACAGACACGCCGACCGACGCTCAAGACAAGGCATCCCGTGCGCGGAAGCGCCATTGTACCCCTTCTGCGTACAAGAGGCGCATGATATTTCTCGAGAGATGGGGAGGCGCCACCAGTGGCGTTTTCCTTTTGCTGCTTTTGCCTCATTCTCTTCCTCTGGCCGTCTGAGACATTGACTGACTCGGCGGACTCCTCTCAACTGACTACACACATACATAACTGACTAACTAACTAAGTTACTGATTGTATGAGTGCGTGGATGCCTGGATGGATATGGGAGGGACCGACTCAGCGAGACACACACACTCACACACACACACACACATATATATATATATATATATGCACACAACAAAGATGCATATGCTGTCCCTTCTTTGTGTGTCTCCATTGCTGCAGGGAGAGAGACAAACTCCCCCGAGATCATCCACAACACGGCCAAGACAGACATGTGGTCCGTCGCCACTACGGCCTTCAAGGTAGGTGCGAGAGACACACCATGCACACAAACAAATACGCGAGGTATCACGTGACTCCTCTCTCTTCTCTGTGTCCATCTGTCAGGCGGCCTTCGGTGTGAGTCTGTTTCCATACCATAATGATGCTCGTCACATGCTTCAAGACATCTTCAGCGTCATGGGCGTGCCGAGGGAGGGGGAGTGGCCGGGGATCGCCGACGTCCTTCGCAGATTGGCATGGAGCTGCCGGATGCCCGTGGGTCGAGCACCGGCGCCATCATCAGACGCCTAACAGCCCATGTGCTGCTGCACCAGAAAGACTCGAAGGCGCCCCTCATGGAGGAGGAAAACGACATACACTTCTACCAATTTATCGCCTTCATGGCCAGGTAAGCAGAACAGACAGATAGCAATCTGCATCCAATGTCTCATTCTTTTGTGTGTTGTCTCTGCCTGTGTGTGTGTCAGGTTGGTGTGCCCTCCCGCCTCCCGCATGACCGCCGTAGACGCCCTGAGCCATCTCTTCCTGGCGGGAGGAGACGACGACTGAGCCATCGACGGCAGATGGAGGCCCAGGGGGCCGTTTCTTTGATCAAGTGGGGCTGGGTTCATGTTCGGGGATGCATAATTGTATGTGTGTGAGTGGGTGCCGTCCGATAGGGATGGTCCTGGTCCTTTTTTCATGTGACACCGGCTGACTGGCTAAGCCTAGGCCGTCTGTGTCTTACATCTTTGTGATGTGATGTGATGTGTTGCGTCCAAAGGCGTAACAGGCAGTGCAGTCTCTCTCTCTCTCTGTCTGTCTGTCTCCCTTGTCAGTGTGGGCTTCATTCGTGATGTACAGTATTAGCAAGTAAGGCAGTCGCCTCCCTGCAGCCAGGGGAGGGGGGAGAGGGGGGGAGGAGGGGGGTGAGGGATTCGTGTATGGGCCTATCGGCCGGCTGTATGTCTGTGGTCCATGGGCATGGTCTTTGGGCATGGTCTTTTATGCATGACACGTCTACCAACCAGTCTGCCTGCACGATCTTCTGGGGGAGGGAAACCACCAACTCGTCTCCTTTTTTGTCGCACTGTCGGTCGTTTTTCACTTCACCTCAGCCGTGATTCGTTTGTTCCTGTGTGTCTGTATGGTTGATGGCTGGCTGGCTGTGTCATGGAACAGAGCTGCTGATGCATGTGGACACACGGAAGACACAGACACAAACGCTGATATTCACTTCAACGTGTAATTTTCTATCCGCGCAGCAACACAACGTCCTTTCCTCTATATACACACATCCACAGGCAGGCCTCCTCCACTCTCAATGTAACCAACCCCACACCAGTGACCACACACCACACACAGAGACACCACCCCCACACACACCCACACACGTGCGGGCACAGAAAAATAACGCTCTCACACGCACAGCATTCAAACCCGCTACATACAGGATCTCTTCACAGTCCGTCTGCACGCTCGTCTCATCTTGCCCACCCTCACCCCAAACCCCCTCCCTCTGTCCATATTACCGACGCGCATTGGTGGCGAAGTCGTCAGCGGATGTGCGGCAGACTCTTCTGGTATTGAGGGCGGGTCTGAGTCGATAGTGTCTGACCGGCGGCAGAGTACGTCGTCGACAGATGGCATCTGGCACCGCTGCACTGGGGCGCATTGCCGCGGACGACAGGCCAGCGGCCTGTATCACCAAATCAAAGGCACTCAGCACAGTGCACAATGGACCGGTATTCTGTGCCGTTCAGAGCTCACCTGAGCCTGCCCAAGACCACTGTTGCCCCCTCGTGCGAAACGGCTCTGACGACAGGGCCCCACACCGACACGGACTCCTGCTTCAGGTCGGCGGGCGTCTCCTGCACAGTCCGCATGGCTGGCATGGAGGGGCACGGCTGAAGCACTTGGTCTTCGTGTCGACGAGCGGCTGTGGGCTCTTCTTGTGTCCTATCTGGTTGTCTTGTGTCGATCCGCTCCTGCACGAAATCACGACATGGTAGCGAAAACGCTGCGATGGAGAGGTTACCTTGATGCTGATGATGGCTCCTTGCAGCTCCTGCATCTGCTCCCTTGTTGCAGTGCCAAACTGGCGGAACAACTCAAGAGTCGCCTTCTGCTCCTGCAACAAACAGAGACTAGGTGGAGAAAGAACGATATGCGTCCTGCGCTCTCACCTTTCGGAGCTTTCTCAGCTCCTTGCGCCACTGGGAGGCCTCCGCATCATTAGTCTCTGCCTCATACCCACCATCCCCATCCGCCACCCGTTTCCTGCCACTGCCGTCTCCCATCCGTACTGGTGCCCCCTCTCCCCTTCCCCACACTTCGTGTGGCGCCGGCAGGGACGGCAAAGGTGGGGGCGGGCCAGCCGGATAGGGCGGGCGGGGAATCAGAGGGGCTCGCAGTATGGCGGGGTCATCGGCTGGCGGCGGCGCCTCAGGTCTGGCGGCTGGCTGGATGAGCATGCGGAAAAGTCTCTTCTTCGGTCTTGTTCTGAGGCGCTTGTATAGCCTGTCGCTGAACATGGCGCGGCGCGATGAATGAGACGAAAGGAAGTCCGCGGGCCCTTCGGCGTCAGCAAAGGTGATAGACGGACGATGGCCTTGAGCCGTTTCTGCAACAGAGGCAGCGATGTGGTTGGCGATCTTCGATCGCTCGTTCGTCGTACCAGCTTCAGGTCGATGAGAGACGGCTGGCTGGTGTGTCTGCAAGAGCTCGTCTTGTATCTGTTGGTGGGCATTTTCTGTATTCATTGCCATTACTTCGGTGTCCTCAGAAGCCTCGTTAGCACGTAGTGGTGAAGAATGCTCTTCCACGAGTATGCCTGGCGGCGAAGGGAACCGCTCTTTCTGGCTCTGGAATGAAAACAGAGTGAGCAAGGTGCTGGTTCATTGACGCGCGTGTCCCCAAATGCACCTCGACGAACGAAGAGGAGCGCTGGTTCATGGTAGTGAGCAGACGTATGGCCGTCGCATGCGCCTCAGGCACACCTTCAGCCGTCAGAGGACTTCTCGTGAATTGGCTGGCTCTGTGCAAACATGGGACATCGCATGAGAAAATGATCGGCTTTCTATGTATTGCTGACCTTCTGAAGAGCCCGTCGACTGTAGGGTCGACGATGATAGAGTTTCTGACCCCCATGCCCGAATGGATGGTGGCCTGTGAGAGATCGAGCGCCCTCCGTCTCTCGTGACGGATGTCGGGTCCCACAATGAACCGAGACATGCGCTCAAGCTTCGCCTCCATCTGGCTCTGAGGCACGCAGGGAGAGAGAGAGAGAGGGAGAGAGTTGAGAGGACACAAAACCTGGCGCACCTGCAGGTATTCCAATTCGACTTTGGTGTTCAATCGCGAGGACTCGTCGCCCTCGTCAAGGGATGTGGAGCGGGGAACAGATTGCAGCGATTTCTGGAGGAGACGCAGTTCTTCACGAAGCCTGCCAAAGACACACATATCCAGAGCTCCGCGATGGCGTACGTCTCTGTGTGTACTTTGCGATGGTGAGTTTCTGCTGAGCGATGACGGACTGCTCGTAGGACACGTAGTTGGCCTGCAGTCTGCTCTTGATCTTCTTGGCCTTGTCTGCGAACCTCAAAGACTTCAGCGACTCATCCAGAAAACCTGAACCAGTCCGACCAGGACAGCGAAACCATGTTTCCATCACAAGATTGTGTAGGTGGCGAGCGTACAGTGGCTAGGGTGCAGAGCGACGAGAAGGGCGGAGCGGGAGTGGCCTCCCAGTGCCGACGCCAGTATGCGGGTCAGCTTGGACTCTCGAAATGGGATGTGGAACGAGTCGGCAAGATCCTGCCAATCCAATCGAGACACACAGACATGGCTTTGCCTAGTCCAGCTGCATGTCTATTCTCACCTTCCCGCTGGCTTCGGCTCGCGCAGAAAGCTTCGAAATCACCTCACTATCGAAAACAAAATGCATCATGAACACGGCCCACGGCGAAAGGCATGTCGCCACTCACCCACCAACCTTAGAAAGAAAAGACTCTTGTTGATCAGCTTGCTTTCGGCCTGGGCCTGACGACACACATCGATATCAGACATGCAGAAGGAAGGCGAGACACATGTCACCACAGCACACCTTTTCGCTGATTGCGGCACCAAACGGCTCCGAGCCGGCGAGATCGACCATGTGGAGGCGGCCGATGCGGGTCGTCTTGACGTCGTCATCCTCTGCAGAGCTCTGCGAGTTCTCGATGATGAGCGTGAAGACGACATGAGACCTCGAAGACACCTCATTGAAGTCAGTTCGCGCAAAGTGCCGTTTACGCTCGCCCCTGTGAAAGTGTAACAGATACATCCCCATGTGCACCTCTTAAGTTCCCCTACCCACAGCAATGAGAGCATTCCGTACCTGGAAAGCCACTCGTAGACTTCACCTTCCGACGACACGAGCCGCTCAGCCAGACCAGCGACGTAGAAGCCCTTGGACGGGTCCTCTTTAACCAGCAGATTCTCAAGCGGCGAATCCTCTCCGGCCTGTCCGTCTTGAAGCAGGTCGTGCACCCTCTCCATATAGATCTCCAGATACGTCATCCGAAGCAGAAATTCCTGCAGACAGGTGGAACCCTGTGAGAGGTGCGTGCCCGGCGGTTTTTACATGAGGAAGAGAGTCCCGTGACGGCCTGCGGTGCGCTGTCGGCGTGCCTCTCTTGGCTTTTTTCTTTGTGGGAGCAAAGGGGCGAGGACCCGATCGCTCATCGATGGGCAGCACCTTGTTGAACACATCTGACAGTCAGAACACGCCAGGGAGGCCGTGGAGAATTCCCTGGCCGTCACCTTTTGTCCTACCGTGTACGGCCCAGCTGATGATTCCAGGATGTGACGCATCCCCAGACATGCTGCAAGTCGAAAGAAGGATGCTCTGCTATGTCTCGGGTGTACAGCTTTTGGTACCTGTATGTTTTACCCGCTCCCGTCTGGCCGTATGCCAGCACGCACCCGTTGATACCTGCAGGCAGACAGGCAGGCAGGCAATGATTCCAACATACATTTTGCAGTGCTGGCTGACCCCTTTAGCTAACTGACTAACCTCTAATGGCGTCATGGACGATGCCTTTCGCCACTTTTTTGTAGACATCCGATGTCGCCGCATCGCCCTCGAAAGTGTGATCAAATCCAAACTGCACGCCCTTGACCCGATCTGACACCGACTTGGGGATGTCCGGAGTGCCTCCCTCGACCCACAATTGGCCATCAGAGACACGCCAGATGTAATGATGGCCAGACCGAAGCTGGGAAAAGGGGAAGTTATTCCATCGGACAAGAGTCATGCTCTCCTGTTCTGTCCTTACTTCGGTGTCCATCAGGGGTCTAAGTCGCACGCTGACTCGAATCGCCTCTTCCCGCCTCTCCAACAGACGAGGGGACAGCGACCCTGAACGACTGAGGGACTGCTTGGAGGATGACCGGCTCGCGCCCTTCTTTTTCTCGCCAGAAAGCGACTCCTTCCTTTTCACTGGCGACTTAGCTGCGGTGTTGGCTTGCAAGAGAGCAGCTGACGCCTCGGAGATGGCGAGGGACACATGCGAAGCGAGAGAAGTCTGCCGGCTGCCCGTGGCGGACTTCTGCCTGGCAATGAGTGGACGACTGGTCGATGATTTCGGCGCTGCAGCCATAGGAAAGGCAAACAGAGGAAGAGCGTCCATCTCTCTTGCCTGTGTTGCTTTCGCACTCACCTTCTTGTGTGCGGCTTCGAGCTGGAGCCTTTGCTAGACTCTTAGGAGAGCTGGCTTTCCCTGGCTCGTACTTGGGGCGAGCCGAATGCGGCCGCTTCGCCTGAGGCGATTTCGTATTCGGTCTCATGATGGGAGACGGGAGAGAGGGGACTCGGAGTAAGCTGGGGGCCGCCCCCACCGTGCATGCACTGGCACGATCGCAGCGACTGGAGTTCTCCAGTCCCTTTGGCCATCCCAATTCATCGACGTCAGTCATACGCTTGTGTGCATCGTTTGAATCCACTTGGTGATCCCGTCCGTCTTGGCCCCCGTCTCGTTGACAAACGAAGAGGACGGGCTTTCTCATTCACCTGAGCCTCTCTGTCGTCACTGCACTGGCCGCCAGCACAAGGGAGGCCACTCTGGTCAGGCACCGACATCGGCGTGGCGCTAACTCCTTTTCTCGGCCGCTCAGATTCACTGTGGTGAATGTCACACACAGCCACAAGAACACCCACAGAAGAAGGGCTGCAGCAGCATTGCAAGGCGGCCCCTCCCGCTTCCCCTCTCATGCATCGAGTCCCGCATTGACCCAGCTGCGTGACGGGGCGGCCGTTGGCAAGACTTCGTCCATCTCTCACGCCGACAGGACGGCCCTCCTGCAGTCGGTCAAGAGCACCAGTGGGGATGTGGCGGGGCAGATCATGAAGCTGATTGACCAGCACAAGGCCAAGCATGGCCGAAAGGATGGCGGTGGCCACGGGGTGGCCAGCAACTCGACGAAGGGACGGAAGGATGGGCCTGTGGTGACTATGGTGGCGCTGAGGGGTGCGGGGGGTGGCCCCGATCCTTGTGAGTGCGAGGACCACACGCCGGAGAAGGCGGACATTGCAGACATGCGGCAGCTGATTGGTTTCCAGAAGGACTTTTTGCAACACATTCGCTCCCTCTTCTACAAGAACCTGCTGTGTAAGCAGAGATACGGACAAACAAAGGTGGGTGCACGTCTGTGCTCGTTTGTGCTTGTCAGCTGCAAACTACGATAACGATGATCGACAATGTGGCGCACTCCTGCGCCATGAAGCTGGAGGCCGCCGTCGACGAGATCGTGGCGGCAGAGGAGAGCACGCAGAGGGAGCTCGTCAAGCAGGCGTCTATCTTCGTGAGCAGGACAAAGGCCGAAGAGGTGAGGGAGGGAGTGCGTTGGCTGGTTGCTTGGACACAGAGAGACCTTATTGGCTGTGTGTGTCTCGTACGCCTGTATCATATCAGCTTCGTGAGATGAATGTGACGTGGCGGCTGATGGGGCAGCTGGAGCACTGCCGACAGGAACTGTACGACGTCAAGCTGCTATACGTAAGGACAACAGGCAGGACACACTGAAGGCGGTGCGGCACGTGTTCCTGTCTCCTCTTTCAGGCTGAGAAAGCGCTGAAGTCGGAGCTTGAGCTTAAGTCTCTGCGAGAGACGCTTGTATGCATCCACAGCCCGATTGCAGACAGGCCCAGCCACATGAATGTCTGTTCTTCTGTCTCGATGCAGGCCGGTCTCAGCCACGAGCTTGAGGCCCTGAACAAGGAGACAGACTCATTCTTACACGTACACACACAATGTCATTCTTACTATCCACGACCCCACAGCATGATTCTCCTGCAGGACACGAGTGCGACAGACGACTGTCTGCCCGGCGATGCTTGCAGCCAAGTCATGTACCACGAGCCATGCTGCAAAGGCAACACCATCCTCTACTGCGCAACCGTCAACGACTCTGCCGCCTTCCTCCACCACTTCATCCAGTCAGAGGTCTGTGCACACGTCAGAGACCACCTCCCTCCCTCCCCCATCAAGTACATCCCGCCACAGCAACAAGAGAACGAGCCACTCGAGCCACTTCCCTTGAGGCTCCCTCCAGTGCACCACCTGCACCACAATGCTGGCGCCGGTGGTGAGGGCGGCGAGAAGGTGCCTCCCGAGCTGGACGAGCTGATCAACCACCTCATCAACAACAACAACTCCTCATCCCATCCCGGACCGGCCCTCCCCCCTTCGCCCCACATCAACCGCACAGCCCTCATGGCCTTTGCAGAACCCGCCATGCACACGGAAAATGCCACCTCAGACAGCGACGAAGAGGACTGCGGCAGCAAAGGCGGAGGCATAGGGAAAGGACATTTGGGGCAGCACGAGGGGGGGAGTGACAGTGAAAGTGAAAGCGAGAGTGAAGCGGATTCCGAGTCAGAGTCGACAATTGACAACAGAATGCTCAAGGAGATGACGCACCGCATAGCGATGGCCACTGCCGAGGCCGACAGGCAGGATAAGGACATCAAGGGCGGGGCGGCCCCTGCGAGCGTGTTAATGCAGCAGCAGCAGAGGCAGCAGCAGAGACACACTACGAGAGGAGAAGACAGCAAGACGGCGGTGCTCGCGAGCCAAGACCAATAGGTGACGCTGTTGGCAGATGGGATGGGTGTGCCGTGTGTCACGTGCCTTGTGTGACTTGTTTGTCGGAGATCGGTCGTGCGTGTTGCTGCCTTGTTCGAGCGACAGATCCCAGATGTAGAAACTGAGACATGATTGCCACTTTGGCTCACTGAGAGTATCTGCCATATCGGTTTCCATCAACAGTCTGTCGTCCGTTCAATGCGCCAGCCACATCACTCCCTCGTCTGCCGACGTCTGTAGACGGCCATATGGATTTGCCTTAAGACACAAATCCCAATCGCCGTGGGCTGGCTCCACACGGTCAAGCTACCGACATCGGCCACACAAGCCAGCAGTCAGTCAACACGTCCTCAGCATCTCTCTCACCCTATCGACATCGACAGACCCGACACCGTCCAAAAATCGAACACCATCCCCCGCCCTATCTACGCCCACCCCGAGCACATCCAGCAGCCGCACTAAATCCTCACCCAATACCACTCGGTCCCAGTCAGAACCAAAAGCATAAGGAGGCACAACAGGCGGATGGGGATCGGCCCTTGTGATCTCCTGCGTGGCTTCGGGAAGGGGGATGGCCAGCCGCTCGGACAGGAGAGATGCCGTGAGGCCTTTGAGGCGGGCAGACAGCTGGCCGCGGGCTGCGAGTGGCGCCAAGAGGGTGGGGAGGGCCCATGTTGGGAGTGACACGAGGTGGTGCTCCGCAGCCGACCGGATGGCCTTCCACGCACGCCTGAGGACAGGGCAGGAGGCAGCGATCAGAGGTCAGTCCTCTATCGGCACGGGAATGCATTCACTCACCCGTCAGTCGCATTTAGCTCCGCCAGGCTCCAAGCCAGCACCGGCAGCTCGGCCGTCCCTACCCCCTCCTCCTCACCCACCAGGCACGGCAGCACCATCTCCACACACGCGTCGATCAACGCCCTCTCTCTCTCGCCGGACAGAACACCCTTCCCGCGATGATAGGCATAGACGTACAGTAGTCGCACGACATCTGCCGGAGTCAGGGCGATCTGCATGGCTGGTGACGGGAGTGGGGAGGCTGAGGCTGATGGGGACGTGGCTGAGGCCTCTGACGTCCCAGGGGTGGTCAACTGGTGGAGAGATGTGTTGACAGTCTTGACGAGGAGAGAGGGCGCGAGGGGGGACGAAATGGATGTGCTGTTGTGAGCGAGGAGCGTGGCCTCGGCATATAGGACCCTGATGTCGTTCGACAGATCTGACGTGCCTGTGCATCACACACACACACACACACACACACCATCATCATCATCATCCTTATCATCGATGTATCTTCCGCTTTCCCTTCTTCCCTCTGCCTTTGTCACCTCTCATCTTCCAGAACTGCCGGAGCACAGCCTCCACAAGCCCACGGTGCCTCTCCTCCCCCGTATCCACCCTGACGCCCAGTCTTGCCAGACCCTCGAGCACCACTCCGCACTCCCTCGCCGTCATAGACCCCAACACATCCACACCGTTCCTCCCAGGCAGTGGCGCCAGCGGCAGCCGCCCGTCACCCCCATACCTCCAGTGCTGCGCCGTCCGCCGACCCGCCGACCGGTCGCCCACCAGCACTGACGTCAGGTACGCCAGCAGCCTGTCGTGGCGGTACCGCATGGAGCTGAATGCCTTGACGATGGCTGTGATGTGTTGGGGTTTGAGGGCGGTGTGGGTGCCGATGCGGTTGTTGGGTGAGGTGAGGGAGATGCCCAGTCGGCGGAAGAGGGAGCGGTCGGGCCACTGAAGCCGGGCGAAGGAGGACGCCAGCACCGCGAGCGACTGCATGCACAGGCGGACGCACATGAACGACTGATTGGGTGTGTTCGTCTTTCGTCCATACAAACCGTACACACCTCTTGGTCGAATTGACGCCACTTGTCGCTCATAGAACCAACAGCCGCTCGAATCATCCCCTCATCCCGGTCGCCCGCCGCAGCCAGTGCAGCCACCAGGTCACCCAGCGTCTCCACCCCCACCCGCCCCTGCTGCACCATGCCCACCAGCACCCCCTTGAGCTCCCGATAAAGCTGCCCCTGGTGCAGCCCCATCCTGGCAGCCACCAGCACCATCTGCGCACATAGCATGTCGCCATACGGCCCGTCCCCCCTCACCCGCTGCAGCCGCACCACCGCCATGAGCCTCTCCTGCAGGGCGGCGAACCTCGGGTCGGTGGCGAGCATCTGCACCGTCCCTTTGACGCGGAAGAGACCCACTCTCCTGCCCAGACAGGTGAAGGCCACCGAGAGGGTGAGCGGATCAACAGGACGGTCGCTCTCGCGCATATGCCTGTCGACGAGAGTGAGGATGGCACTCACGTCGGTGAGGGTCGGCAGCACGTCGAGAAGGTCGTCGTCTGTCAGATGATCACGGCGGAAGGCGGGCGTAGGGGCGGGGATGGGGGGGAGAGGGAGAGGGAGAGGGGGCATGACAGGGTGGCTGAACCCGCCACGACTAGGGGGATCAAGCGGGAAGTGATCCATCAAGTGCTGTTGCCGGTTGTGATGATGGTCGTCAGAAGCAGCGATAACCTGCGGCAGCGGATGAAGCACCGGGTGAGCCGACCGCGGCTGCACTGCGGCAGTGGGAGAAAGCCGATGCCGCCCTCTCACAGGCCGACAGACGATGAGTGACAGAGGTCGGCTTGTCCCGTCCCGGTATGGCAGATCCATATGGAGCCACCGCAGCCTCTTGATTGGTGCTTGGCTGCTCAGCGCCGACCAGGGAGAGCTGCTGGCGTGGCCGATGACGCATGGGAAGGCGGAGCACAGAATCAGAGCGATGAGTGCCGTCTGTCTGCGGGGATTCTGATATCGCAGAGGGAGCGATGGCAGCCGTGCGGAGATCTCCATGACGATGCCTCAGATCATGAAAACCTGGCTTGAAGCGCGCATGCGAGCTTAGCTTGAAGTGTGAAGCGCAGATCTCCGAGCCTCTGCCTCGTAGTTGCGTAGGGAAGATCCAGGCGATTGCGTCGGCAGCATCATGCCGTCTGTCAAAGGTACGTGTGCAGGAAGCGACACACTCAGCTGTTCCGGCTGCCCTGCGCGCTGCTCCGGGCGACGCTATGTCTATGCCATCCATCCATCTATCCAATCATCCATCCATGCGTCCATCTGCCTGTCTGTCTGTCTGTCTGTCTGATTGTCTGATTGTCTGATCGTCTGTGTGTGGCATCGCATCGCATCAGTTCAAGTCAAGTGGGGCAAGCAGGTCTACAATGAGGTGGAGGTCGAGACCTCAGAGCCCGGCGTCCTGCTCAAGACGCAGCTGTGGACACTCACCGGGGTCCCAGTCGAGCGCATGAAGCTCATGGGGACGAAAGGTGATTATATATGCTCAGATGGATGGATGGATGGATGGCCTCAGTCGTTGCAGCTCAATGACATCATCCTTCTGTGTGATTGTGTGGTGTGCAGGCATCGTCAAGGATGATACGGACCTCGCTGCGTTCGGGCTGAAAGATGTGAGCCGAGCCGCTTTACATGCGCCATGGAGCCGTGTTGTTGTGTTGTGTTGTGTTGTGTGTGCAGGGATCGAAGCTGACGCTGATCGGGACGGCTGAGGGCAAGGAGCTGCAGCCACCCTCAGGTATGTATAGGTGGATCTGATCTGCGCCACGTGCACAGGTAGCTAGCTGGGTGAATGGTGTGTCTTGTTCAGAGAAGACTGTGTTTGTGGAGGACCTGACGCCAGCCCAGAAGGCCAAACTGCTCAAGGAGAAACAAGTGGTACGCATCCGCCGTCCGTCTGATTGGGTCGTGCTACGTTGCACTGCACTGCACTGCATGCTGGATGCACGTTTGTGTGTGTGTGCAGGAGCCTTTGCCGATGGGGTTGGTGAATCTCGGCACCACCTGCTACGTCAACTCGGTCGTGCAGTTCCTCAAACCAGCTAAGGAATTCACCAACGCCATCAAAGGGTCAGCCAGCGACCGAAACACACACACACACACACACAGGCAGGCAGGCAGGCGGGCAGGACGCAATGCAAGCAGCAGCAGCAGGAGCCTGCGGCGATCGTGCGGTGCGGTGTGTTTGCGTGTGTCGGCATGTCAGGGTGACGGCGGGTGGTGGTCCGGGTCAGGTGGATCCCGAGATGAGACTCACAGCGTCCTTCCGGGATGTGTACCACCAACTGGGTGGGCCGGGGATGGGTGTGACAGACAGGCAGATAAGACAGACACGTCACGTGAGTGACTCGAACAACCCATTATCTGTGCTGGTTGTGTTGTGCCCGCTCTGCCGCTCTCTCTGCGTGTGTGTAGAGATGGCGGGTGAGCCGATCCCTCCGATGCTGGCCATCCAAAACCTCAGAGACCGATTCCCACAGTTCGCACAGAGGGTGAGGTCAGGGGGGTAGTGGCTGGCCTGGCGGCGGACACAGACAGACAGACAGACAGACAGGCACCACACCATGTGTGTGTGTGTGTGTTCGTTCCTTCCCTCGCCTATGGCCATGCCATGCAATGCAGGGTCCGCGAGGCGTGTTCATGCAGCAGGATGCGGAGGAGTGCCTCAATGCGCTGCTCAACACATTCAGGGACAAAATCAAGGTAGGTAGGTAGGCGATCGTTTGACTGACGTCGATCCTTTCGTATCGCCGCTGTGTGTGTCCATCCAGGGCGGCGCGTCAGGGTCTGACCGTGTTGTGGATAAGCTCTTCTCCTTCACTCTCTCATCCACGTAAGCCAGCCAGGCGGCCAGGCCACATGAGGGCGAGGCGCGTCTGTCCGTCGCCCTGTGTGTGTGCGCGTGTGCAGGTACAAGTGTTTGGAGAACGAGAAGGAGGAGGAGACGACCGCCACTGAGGAGACCCGGAAGCTGTCGTGCCACATGGGCAACCAACTCCACCCCGTCAGCCTCATCTCACAGGGCATCAAACTGGTGCTGACCGACCTTATCACACACACACACACACACATTTGCCCACGTTGTGTTGTGTGTGGGGCGGGGTGCGTGTGTGTATGCAGTCGCTGGATGAGGACGTCGAGAAGATGTCCCCCACCCTCGGCAAGAACGCCGCTTACAAGAAGACCTCCCGCATGGAAACACTCGTAAGCAACGGAGAGAGAGAGACACCAATCACACCAGCTTCGTGTGTCTGTGTGGGTGTGTTGTGTATCGCTCACTCGGTCGGTCGGTCGGTCGGTCAGCCTGAGTACCTGACGGTTCATTTCGTCCGTTTTGAGTGGAAGGGCGCCAGCGCAGCTGCCGGCACGGAGGCCACCAAGGCAAAAGTCTGCCGGGTGAGGGAGAGGGCAGCAGCACACCACCACACCACACACACTCGCCAGCCAGGAGCAAACATACCAAACACACCACGGTGGTATCTGCGTATGTGTGTGTGTATGGCGGCTGTCTGTCAGCGAGTGGAGTTTTCGCGTACGTTGGACGCCTATGAGTTTTGCTCCAAGGACCTGCAGCGCACTCTCAGGGTCGGACGCAAGATACAGAGGGAGAAGGACGAGGAACAAGCCGGTACACCACACACACCCACACCCCCACAGCCAGACAATCCACTCGCCCAGCCAATGGTGGTCCATATCTGCGTGTCTTCGTCCTTCCGTGGTGCGTGTGCAGCTCTCCGCAACAAAGCTTTGGAGGACACGTCTGTATCGGCCAAGAAGGAGAGCGACAGCAAGGAGAAAGACACCAAGGACACAAAGGACACAAAGGACAACAAGGAGAAGGACGGCGACGTCAAGATGACCGACGGCGAGGCGGCGGCCAAGCCGGCTGCTGCCGCACAGGAAGCTGAGGCCGCCGCTGCAGCTGCTGCACCGGAGAAAAAGGAGGACGAGATCGAGGAGGTAAGCCCCGCAGGGGACAGAGACGGCAAGCGGCAAGCAAGTGAGTGTGACTGACAATGGTGGGTTGGTTGGATTGCAGTTGGTTGACTACGACACGGGCAACTTCCAGCTGCTGAGCATCATCACACACCAAGGTGAGTGGTGGGTCTGTCTGAAGCTTGCAAGGTGTGTGTGACGAGGGCGGCGGGACACGTCCATGTGTGGGTGTGTGTGTGTGTGTGTGTGACAGGTCGTGCTGCGGACAGCGGTCACTACATCGCGTGGGTCCGGAAGACCGAAGGTCAGACAGACAGACAGACAGAACAGACACCAACTTTGACCCAACACATGACATGTGCCCCGAGCGACTGGAAGCGTGTGTGTGTGTGTGTGCCGTCGCTGCAGACGAGTGGCTGAAGTTCGACGACGACAAGGTGTCGGACCACAAGTGGAAAGACATCGACCTCACAGGCGGCAGAAGTAGGACCAACACA